TAATTTTTTTTTGCTTTTTCAAAATTCAGTTTAAAGTCCCAGGAAACTTTCAGTTTTTTTTTAGGAAAATTTTTTGGAAATTCCAGCTTTCCCCCACTCCCTGTATTTTTCAGCAGTTTCTTTAAAAATAATTTCAGCTTTTCTTTATGCTTGTATTAACAGCAATTTTTTAATATAAATTCTGTATTTTCTGCAATATTTCACATTCCATTTCAGCTGTTTTCATTTCTGCTTTTTCAGCAAATCAATGAAATTCCTTCAGCTTCTCCCATTTCTGTATTTTCAGCAATTTCAAATTAATTTCAGCTTTTCTGTATAATATCTGTAATTTCAGCAAATGTATTCAAATTCCCTTCAACTTTGTGTAATTTCAGCTATTTTTAAAAATTCATTTCAGCTTTCAGCATTTTGCATTCCAACACATTTTCAGCAGGAAATGCATTTTCTAGTTTTTTATATTTCTTATACTTGTTGCCCTGGTGCCATTTAAGCCCATTAACTGTATACATTGGGGCTGACCCTGCCTGTTCATCATGAGGGAAGGCTTATTCAGTACTGTAGTTGTTGTCTTTTATGAGGGTCCCGTTTAGGATTTAACTACTGAGACACTCTCACGCATACTAATAAAACTGAGACACTATTACGTTTGCTATTGAAATTCTCTCGTGCACACTACTAAGACACTCTTACGCCTACTAATGAAGCACTCGTGTGCATCTCACTAGTGTGTGTGAGTGAAAACTCACTGGTGTGTGTGAGTGAAAACTCACTGGTAGCATACGGAAGCATCTCAGTTACACCGGAACTATGACTTCCTGCATTGAATTCACACTTTTTGGTGTTCAATTCAAAAACATCCATAACTTCTGCAACGCCCTTTGCTCTGAGTCTAGAAAGGTTGTTGGCTTGATAGAAAACAATGGGAATGCCTACGATTGGAACTCCATGATGATGAATATTTTTATGTCCCAGGAGGTCATTCTGTGTCATCGAGTGTACAAGTGAAGTATTGTTGCCCTCAGTGGCCGGTCGGTCCCTTTTATACCTCCAGATTACTTCCTGTGGTAATTTAGCAAAAGCTTCAGCTATCTCATTAGCTAGGTCATGGGGAAGCTCGCCAGTTAATGTTCCAAGTGACATGATGATGAATCCATGCTCTTATTCCTTTTAATGTTAATGTTTAAAGTCACAGATACATATTTAGTCTTATAAATGCATTTAACTCCAAGCATTCTTTCTGCAAAGGCGCCAATCTGTGCAGAACAAACTTCCCTCCACTTTACCACCCTCCCTACAGTTTGTCAATCAGAGACCACAAAATGTAACCCCACCTGAAACCTTGCACGGACCAATCAGCTGGAGAAGAGTCAGAGCTGTCGGCACACCCTCCTTTGTTAGAAACCAATCAGAGTGTAAGTGTAGCATATGGCTGAGAGGAAAACATACCTGATGCGTTAATCACACATTGCTTATCTGTTGCCAATGTGTTCACACGCTAGACCCTCTTTTGGGCTTTTTGTAGTGGTTGCTTTCATTTTTTGCTCAATCTAGTATGGCAGATAGACAGCAATGGCTCAACCAGGTGAAATCTTTAATTCGTGAAAGTCCTCTGGTATCAAATGCGGCTTTTGGCTTCATCCAAACGGGACTGGAGAAGCTGGTGGAGATGGAGTTTCGGTGTCCTTGTGACCCTAAATGGAACGCATTATTCTCATCAGGATTCTTCATCATTCCTGCCGTAATGGCCTTCACCTTGATGCTGCTCATTGAAAAACGCAGATGTGACGAGTGGTTCAGGATAATCGTCTCCAGCTCTGTTCCTGCTATCGTGTGGCTGATTTTGTTGTTCTTCGATGGCCAATACTTTGCTTGTGCCATGTCAACCTGGGAGGGTAGATTTGTAGTAGATGACAACGAAGCTAAGATAAAGTGGTGTAAGCCAAATGTCACCTCCGACAAAGCAGCCACCACACAGAATTTCTATTCTAGGTCTCAGGTGAGTTGAATGCTTTCTAGTTTACAGAATTCTTATGATCAGTGGAGCAAAAACACCTCCCCCTCGCAGTATGCCTGGTTGAAAAATATTTATATATAATGTAACGCTATTGGCCTTTGGAAACTATCAATATAGCTCTGTTAATACACTTTGATAATCAAGAATGCACTTTTTAAATTTTGCTCAACTCGTTTGTACTCCAGGGTATAGGCGAAGGCCTCCTCCTCGTCATCTGTGTGGGTCTCATAGTGTATGTATCCCAAGAACGCTGCTGTGGAAGCGGAGGAATTCAGGCTGAAGGAGATCCCCCGGGTGAAGGAGATCGTGCGGGTCAAGGAGATCGTCGGCCTGGAGGAGATCGTCGGCCTGGAGGAGATCGTCCGGGTGAAGGAGATCGTCGGCCTGGAGGAGATCATCCGGGTGAAGGAGATCGTCGGCCTGGAGGAGATCGTCCGGGTGAAGGAGATCGTCCTCCTGGAGGAGATCGTCCGGGTGAAGGAGATCGTCGGCCTGGAGGAGATCGTCCGGGTGAAGGAGATCGTCCGCCTGGAGGAGATCGTCCGCCTGGAGGAGATCGTCCGCCTGAAGGTGTTGAAATGGAAAACTTATTGCCATCTACCACTGAGCCAGTTTGAACCATATCCTTTCCATGTCATCATTCCGATATATATTATAGATACACTTTGTTGTATGTATTATACAGTACATTTATGTGTCTCTCGTTCATACATTCTGCACTTCCCTGCCAAATTAATACAAACAACAGATAAATTAGGCTGTAGCGTAGAATATGGGCAGGGTGTGTCTGTTGCTACTTCACCTAAAAGCAAATCTTTTAATACAGATACAATATGGCAATACATTGACTTGTTCATATGTTGCTACGCAATATGTTTATCACTGATCTTTTGAGTCATAATAAAACAGGCAGTAAATACATATAAATCATCATCCACAACAACACCCTGTAGCATTTTCTTTTAACTAGATCAGTGGTGTTTAATGGCGTAAACACGTATTCAAACTTTTGAAAATAAGAATTCAGTGTAAATAAATCATTGTTTTGTAAGCTTTTAAGTGTAAAGTAAAATAAAGATTATTAAAAATGTAACTGCTGCATGCTCTGTGTCTTTGGTCTGTTTCACTGGCTGCTGTGCCAGGTAGACCAGATGTGATCCTAGATGTCCCTTCACCTGCAGCTGTATTTAAGCACAGAGTATAACCAGATCAGTGGAGTTCTTTAAAATTATGAAACGATCGAGAATGATGTTGAAAGTGGTTTACAATGAATGGAAGTGAGAGGTCATATTTTGAGTGTATTTACATAATCTTGAACTGTTACAGATGATTATAGCTTCATTAATATGCATTTATAGACTGCTACTTCTTCCACTAAAACTAAAACAATCGCTACCACCAATAACTATAAACAAGTAAACAAACTTACAAGGTCCAGACTGAGGTGAACATGGAGGATCAGCTTTCTTTAGGAGGTGAGGGTCTCTGCAAAAATGTCTGAAGTGCATCTGGACAATATTTTAAAATATAAAACTAGAAAATTCCGCAGTCATTTTAAGAGTGTGGTTTAAGAGCAGGTGCCTGTGCATGAAATGGCCAAGCAGGCAAGTGAAGACTAGCCACAAAGGCTAGCTAGCAAACTAAAGACATGATCCATTTTGCTCTGGCTGTTTAAGCCACTTGTCAGCAGTTGAGTCCTGTTATTGGAATACTTTAACTTGCTAGTTTGACGGACAAATAGCAGGACACCTCAGTCCCACCATCTGTCATAGTGAATTCAAATAAATATACGTATTTTTCTCGTGTAGACCAGGAAAAAGCTGTAGGCCTGTTACCAGTTACTATTACTAAAAGAACATTGATTGTTACTACAAAGTAACAACAAAGGATATCTTCCTTTACTAACCATATTGTCGCCCCAGCTGACCTGTGGTGCCTCTATTATAACCAACAGAGATTTGTGAATTACACCAGAGATGCAGTGAAAGCAATTGCTGGACAGCTAGATGCTACTTTACTCATGACCTGGCAGAATCGTATGGCTTTAGACATGCTGCTAGCTGTAAAAGGCTACGTCTGTAAAATGTTTGGAAATTTCTGTTGTACATTTATTCCCAACAATACAGCCACTGATGGAAGTAAAACGAGGGCCCTAGAGCAGGGGTCATGAACTCGCCGAGAGGTACCGACTTTGGCGTAACCCCCCCTCCGTCGACGTACCGTTCGCCGGTCGGTCCGTGAGCGCTTCCCCCCCGCCGTTGACCGTAATGGTCTGGCCCGTGTTCGGTCAAAGTGGGCTGCATCCGGCCCGCACCTGATTTGAGTTTGAGACCCGTTCCCTAGAGGGTCTAACCGCAATTGGCAGATCATTCTGGCAGAGCAACCCGTTTAGGGGTTTCTTTGATCGTCATTTTGGTAAATATAAGGCCATCCCTTTTTCCATCCTACCATCCATTGGGTGTTTCCTCGCCATTCTAGTTACATGTGGCTTTTGCTGCATTCCATGTATCCACACCTTATTAAACAAACTGTCACTGCATTAACTAAGGAGAAAAATCCACCACTGTACATGTCACTGCTGTCTCCCTCTGACTCCGATATTGACAAACTTCATCCCAACTCCATCCCATATTCCGACTCTGACGTAGACAACCATTCTGAGAGCTTAGTGTGAGTGTTTTCCTTTTTTTGACTGTTATTTTTTCACATTCTACTTTAATGTTTTATTGTTACTATTCATGTTCTATTTTTCATGTGTTACTATTCAGGTTTCATATTTCATGGTTTATTTTTCAGGTTTTGATTGTCAATTTTATCTTGTGTTTTTATTTTTCCACAAGGTTATTTTACATTTTTTAGTATGATCATTAAGTAATCAAAAGGGTAAAATAGCTTTGCCATAGTTGTTACCCCGTTTGTATGCATGCATGGGAACTTGAATTTGTCTTGAAACCAGGTGTGATTGTAACATCTCTCTATCAAGCAACCTTTACAAACACCATGGTGGGACCTAACTATATGGTAATATAAAGAACATCATTTCAACTTTGGACTTGGGTTGAATGCCCAAACTTGCTAAGACATCAGCAGAACAATCAGCATAACACATGCTACAAATAGCATGCTATTTACAGAGGAACACAAAGCCTGTAGATTGTCAGGCTAATAACGCCTTTGTGTCTCACCACATCCTTTGTTGAGAAGAAACTGCTGGTTACTGTGCATGTCTGCTGAAACCTACGCAAACGGTAGTTATGCAGCTCTGACTTATTTCTTGTTACTTACGTTTCCCTAGTGCCAGTTAAGCCCATTAACTGTAGAAATTGGGGAAGACTCTGCATGTTCATCCAGAGCCAAAGATACTGAATTACAAGGCTCCAGTTCAAACAGATTAGTCACAGATAACGCACAACCGGTATTTTAAATTATCCCAACATATTGACTAATGAAGGTCAGATTATAAAGAAGAGGCTCCGCAATTTCCTCTGTGTGGGTCTCAAAGTGTATGTAATCAGAGGAAGCTGTAAACAAGAGGTGGAGATGCAGGATGCAGATGTAGCCGAGCTCACTGTGCTTAGGATGAGCTCCCTGCGGACCAGGGCGTCCTGAAGGGGGACTCACACCACCCAACACACCTGCCCTGCAGGCATGGACACTTTGCAAATACCCTCAAAAGACTTTACTATGACTTTTCGCAGCTGTTTGACCAAGTATTTTCCCACTGTGATGGCGCAGCCCGTGAGTCTGCCTATATACATATACATTTTATGTACATTTTATGACTGTGTACTGTCAACAAATCTTCAGCTTTTTCAAGCTCCTTCTGTATGAACACAAATGTGACTGACTGAAGACAAAAAGAGAAGCTCATTGCATATAACTGGTGCAGAGGTGTAAAACTCTTAGACTTCACGAGGACATTTACTGCAAAACTGTTGTCTTTGTCCGTTTAGTCGCAAAGCTTTTGTCATGGCCTACGGGAACACCATGGTCCTTTATTGTTTCCACTGTGAAATTGCTTGTCCCAACTAGCAAAGCGACCTTTAACCTTTTCACTACGGCCTACAATCAGCGCAATATTGTATCTTTTTGCTGGATCATAAACCAGCCATTCTCGACTGGACCTCCACTTTTGACTGAACAGTCTTTCTTTTCTTGCGACCCTCTCAAGATGTGGCGTGTGAACTGGCTGAACGCGCGTGTCTCACGGTCAATGAGTGAGGCTTGAAGTACCGTGAGAATATTATTTTAGATGTGCTTTGAGACGACTACTGTGACGGTCTGTTACGGAGACAGTCGAGCTAAACTAAGGTAGTGCACACACAAGCTCGCCGGAGTGTAAAACAGTCTCCGCGGTCCGTAGTCGGTTTGCAAGAACCCACCAACCGAGCGTTGTGGGTTCGTGGATAATGTGCTCATGACACGTTAATAACTGCCGTTACTAAAGCAATATGGTACGAGAGGCTGTACTTTATCATCCAATAATATACCAGTTCGGGGGTCGAACATTATTGAAGGTAAAGTGGTGCCTCAAGTACCGGCGGTTACCAGCGAAATTATATACAGGAAGTAAATAGCTGCCTTTCAGCACAAAATAGTTGTGGCCACCACACGTTGTGTATCTCATTTCAGTAGTCTAGAGAAAATATAGTCCCCGTACGTGCACGTAAACACCATCGGGTCCCGCACCACATTCACATTGCTCACGACGTCCACTTTAATTGTCCGGGTGCGAAAGCTCGCATTGCCCGAAATCCATCATTTGTGGGATTTCCGGTTTTCAACCCCCGTGACTCACTCGCAACCAATCTCAATTTCATCTACCCATATTATAATCATGTCACGGGTACTGGTACCGGTGCAGGAAGGAACCCAAAAGCACGACTAAGACAACAGTGGGCGAGACAAATAGATTTGACTGGAAGTTCAGGCAAGGTCAAAAACCGGGAGGTCCGTCAGTAAGCAAAACAAATCCAGAGTGGCAGGCAGAGAATCTGTATAACAGGCAGGGTCAGTAATTCTCTGAATTAGCAAATATTTAAAATCCATATTGCAGAACTTTGTCAACCGATTGGTGCGTTTTGTGGGCTAACGCTACGTATCAATATGCTACGCAATGAAACAGCGTCGCATAAGAAAGCAGACACTCCTTGTAAAGTGAATTTAGCCATTTTATTCTAAACACATTAAGAGCCAGACAATTAGTTTTAAGTAAAAAAAAAAGGCACTACTATTGGACTGTGGATATAGGACCAAGGTGTCACAGCAAGCTGCCTTTCCACTTTTTTTTATTGGTAGTATTTTTATCATTCTGAAAATGTTGCACATTTCAGTTATGTTTGCTTTTCTGTTATTTATATGTTGTGTGTAAAGTTTGCATTCAGATGGTCATGTTATTGACTATTTTATATTTTAAATGTTTAATAAAATATTTCTTTACTGATCCGTAGTCCTGGACTTCACTTATCATGATTCTAGGGGGGCCCCATGGTCCTTTTTGCCTGGGGCTCCCAGGGGGTCTAGGAACACCCCTGGCAATCAGACAGGCAACCAAATCCAGAGGGGCAGGCAGGGAATCCGTAGAAGAAAACAGGCAGGGTCAGAACCAGGATGGCAATCAGAGAGGCAGACAAATCCAAAACGGGGCAGGCAGAGAATACGTGGTCAAAAGGCAGGTAAGGTCAGAGCAGATAGCCTAATTCAGAAACGCTGGAAGACTTTACCTAGACACAAAATAATCTGGCAGGGAGCAACAGAATGTGACAGGATTAAATAGTGATTGGCTGACGAGGGGATGTGCTGCAGGTGAGAAGGGCAAGGAGAACCAGGTGAGGGTAATGAGCTTATGTGGGAGGATCTGAAATGACAGGAGGTCAGTAAACATGCAGGCTGGATGAAAAACAAACTAAGATGTGGTAAAATGTATGAGAAATAAAGCAATAAGGTACGAGAGGCTGTACTTTATCGTACAATAATGTAACAGTTCGAGGGTGTTGTTAGTGCGCGCAGACTTTCACGCAATACAATCTCATGAGACATCTTCACAATCAAGAATTTTGTGAAAGCCTTGAGGGCAATGGGACAATATTTAAACACATTGTTAACTCTCCAGAGCCAAAGATACTCTATTATGAGCCTCCAGATCAAACGGATTCATCAAAGATAACACACAACCGTTATTTGGCAAAAAACTGAGGAGACCTGAGCCAATTGTTCCTTTGCTATTTATTTGTTTTTTATGACACTTGTTAAACCTAATACTCGTTAGGTTGAAGACGCAAGACAAAACCAAAAGGGATTTGTTTCATATCATGCAAGACATAGTTAGAAGAAATTAGAAATACTGTATAGACTGTTGTACATTTTTATTTTTATATATAAGTGGTTACCATGTCCAAAATAAGCCATTTTGACTTATCCCAAAATAATTTAATACAATTTAAATCTAAAGATCAGATCAAAATGAGAGAAGCTCTCCATCAACATTGACATTAAGATAGTATTATTGTTTTGTACCAAAATAGTGTACCTTATTACAAAATCCCACTAATATAAAGAAATTATTTACGTATTTAAGGGCCAGGTTTGGATTTGTCTTTTCAGTCTTCTATCATCTTTCAGTGTTCCACAGTGAGTTGGAAACTTCATGGAAATCAGTGGAGCAAAACATGCACCGGCTCGTTCCTCCGTGTTCTAGAAGTACCCATATTTAGAAAAAATGATTACTTCCTTCTAAAGCAGCAATTTTGCAGCCTATTTTGACAAATGATAGACCTTAAACCTCTATGTTCTTCTTTGTTGATAAAGAAAAGAATTATAAAGCACTAAATGACTATTGTCTTTTTTACCAAAATCCAATGTTTTTTTCTTTCACCTAAAGAAGGTATTTTTCGGTCATCCATATTTAATTACAGTAATTATTCAATCAATATTTTCATGGTTCAAATACTGGAATCATATTTCATGGTGATTTCTACTTACATTTTTTCAAATCACATTGACTTTTTCTTCTCAGACACCTGCAGCACAAACACCGTATCAATGCAGCTAAAGTGCATATAATTATCAGCACAGCTCCACCTAAGAAGATAACCACATCAACAGAGTGGTAGGAGTACCAGGGCATCTTGTAGGACTCAGTTCTCAGGTGAGCTGCACCTTTGTGTCTCATGACAAACTCTACCCAGAACAGGGTGTTATCCAGCGGCTTCATCGGCTGATATCTGTGCAGCCTGGAGAGCATCTGCATGTTCCTCCTGTAGGAGGGCTCGTTCAACACTTCCTGAATACCCGCTCTGCATCTGCAAAACTACTCGTCCCTCCCTCACTGAGAGCAAAACACTCGACTTGATCTCGACTCTTTGCTGTCCTTGCGCCGAAATGGTCGAACGAGCTCTCTGAAGACACCAGGACCGCAGAGAGCCTTCACATCTTCCGCCGCAAACTAAAGACACACCTCTTCAGACTCTACCTCGACTAAAGACTAACAAATTGTAGCACTTAAATTGTACTTATAACGCCACTCGTCTATAGCAAATTGTAAATTGGCTTATTTGATGAAATTGCCCTTTCTTGTTTCTTGTTCTTCTGAGTTTGTACCCTAAGGTTGAATGCACTTATTGTAAGTCGCTTTGGATAAAAGCGTCAGCTAAATGACATGTAATGTAATGTTTGGTATCTCGCTCAGGGACACTTCGACATGGGACATAGAGCAGCCAGGGTACAAACGGTGTGGGTGTGTCTTAGTAAAGGAAAAAGCCATTAATGATCTGCCTGCTCAGCTTAAACAACGGGAAGCGGCTGAATGGGGTGCAGACAGTTGAGCATTTATTTGTTAATAAGAAATAATCACAGAATGGTCAGTTAGAACCTTCTCTGCACGGAGATTTCATACTTTAAAATGGTCTTTTCTCAAGTTTTTTTATTTTATCGTCCCAGGACTCAGTTGTTACTTATAGTAAGAAAGATCTATATTATAAGATATTATAGAGTAACATTTCAGGTAAAAAATATATATTCCTACTTTTCTATTCAGTCCAATTTTACTTTTCTTTTACAACACAATCTAAAGCATGACCACAGTAACGCAGCAATAAACAACAAAGCAACCACTGTGATTGCTAGTAAAAATAGCATCACATCAACAGAGTGGTAGGAGTACCAGGGCATCTTGTAGGACTCTGTTCTCAGGTGAGCTGCACCTTTGTGTCTCATGACAAACTCCATCCAGAAGAGGGCCTTATCCAGCGGCTTCATCGGCTGATCTCTGTGCAGCCTAGAGAGCCTCTGCATGTTCTTCCTGTACGATGGCTCGTTCATGACTTCCTGCATTGCATTTAGGAAGTTTTTTGTGTTCAATTCAGAAACATCCATAACTTCTGCAACGCCCTTTGCTCTGAGTCTAGAAAGGTTGTCGGCTTGATCGAAAACAATGGGAATGCCTACAATTGGAACTCCATGATATATGGCCTCATATATTCCATTTGTTCCTCCGTGACTTACAAATAGTTTAATACTTTTATGTCCCAGGAGGTCATTCTGTGGCATCCAGTCTACAAGTAAAGTGTTGTTGCCCAGAGCGGCCGGTCGGTCCCCTTTATACCTCCAGATGACTTTCTGCGGTAATATAGCGAAAGCGGCAGCGATCTCATCAGCTAGGTCACTGGGAAACTCTCCAATCAAAGTCCCCAGAGACATGATGATGACCCCGTGCTCTCCAGAACTCTGCACAAACTCCTCCAAGTGTTCAGGAAGAGGTTTTGCCGGTTTACACTGGAAGCCTCCCATGTAGATAACATTAGGCATGGTGGGCCGAGGGAACTCGAACACAAAGTCCACTCTCATCAGCCACAGGTCTGCTGCTTGAAACAGGGAGAAGTAATCTGCATCTGGACCAAAGTAGCGCCTGGACAATGCAGAATAATGTGGGGCGACTATCTGCTTGTACAGATGCATCCTCATGGTGTAAAAAACAACATTTTTCACCCTCTCAAAGAAAGTCATTTGATCCGTTAATTCTGAGGGTGGAAGTGGTACGTAGGAAAGGGGAGAGGGTGCGATAGCAAAATGGGCTTCACCGTGAACAGTCCATCGAGCATTAAACATTAACGGCAGTCCGAGATAGTGAGCCAGCATTACTCCTCCTCCGTTGGCAGGATCCGTCAACACAGCATCAAACTTGGAATCTCGAAAGGACTTCATCAACTCTTTATTTTCAAATATGTTCGTGACCACTTCACAGATTTTTTTGTGTAATTCAAAGAACTTGTCCTTCAACTCCATGTCCAGAGCAAAACGGGCCCACGCTGACGACTTGCTTCGTTTGATCTTAATGACCTGAGAGACAAAGAGGCGAAAAAAGGCCTCATCTGCACCACCGGCAACATCCACTGTGACAGCGCTGTAATGAGGCGAGGTCTCACTGATGTACCAGCTGTCTGCCGCTCGAATGACAGTCACCGCGTGCCCTCTTGAATGCAGCTCATCAACAAGTACCCTCATGTTCACCCAGTGGCTGCCGTCGTGTGGGAAGACCAGAACTTTCCCACCGTAGGCAGCTGGAATGATGCCGGCCAAAAGAAAGATGATGGAGACCAAAGTCAAAAACATGTTGGAATCTTCTGAAACGGCGCCGTCTGAAACACAAGAAGAGAGAAAAAGCGAACGCTGCCACTTTAGCATTCCAGGAAATGGGTGCACAGAGTGCCTCCTGTTTTTGTTTTTTTGTTGAACCCGAATCGACCTGAGCAGAAGTGTTTTTACAACTGGAAATGTTCCTTCTGTGGAAATATTACGAGAGCTTCTGTTTAGCGAACACATAATCCATGTGCAAGAAATTCCATGCACAGGATCCCTTCCTCTTTTTTCATAAACCACAATTCAAGACCCAAGATTACAGAGAAAACTTTACCAGCACTTAATGTTTCGCCAGATGGTTAAAACCCAAACAAGACAAAACAGATCCGTGAGGAGATCTAAGTCGCACTGGTGTGGCTAAAAAACACTTCCTGGTTTCTTTTGTCCCACCCACAAAACAGTTAAATTCTTGTTCCTTTCTGGGGAAGCTTAGTTATCTTGTTGCGACGTGACTGCGGTGTAGCAGAGAAGTGTTACAGGATATGGTGTGGTCTTAAAAAAGACACTTCTGCTGCAAGGCAGTGAAACGTGCAACGTGTAAAAACTTGCCACACGCTACAAACAAAGAGGGGCAGAATTTCCCTACTTGGCCTGAGTCTGTAAAATTTAAATGTAATGTCATCGGTCATAAAAACAGAAACGGAGCAAATACTTAATAATGTAGCAGGGCAAGAATATGCCAATTCAAGAGACATTCACTGACTCTAGTGTAACGTGACAAAGCTCCAACGTATTATATAAGAAAGTGTTTCATCACCATGCAGATATGACATTATAGTTTTAATGTGATTGAGGTGAAATAATATATAAATAGAACTCACTCAGTTGATTCTTCTGTACTTTGGATCTGTCAAAAAGGCAGGCCGCGATCAGGGCTATTACCACCATAAGCGCACAAACCTGGACACACCCTTATGGTTGAGACTCCGACTCTTGAGAAACAGGTTTGTTGCAGGAAGTCAAACACACTATCTTAAGGAAACGGTATAACAGAGTGCAGTGCCTCACCTACCCATAAAATACCACAAAGATGAAGCTGTTGTGAGACTTTGCAGTGTAGTTTCAATAAATATGCAGTTTGAAGCAAAACAAATTTATTGTTTGTATTATCCTTTACAGCTCACCACTTGTTAATCCAGTATTCTCGAATGCATTTTTAAATGTTCCAGAAGTAATAAACCACAGAATTGGCCATAAACAAAGGCTGTGGCTCTGCGTGGAGCATGTTAAGAAAAACTGAAGCACAAGGCTGAAGCTGATGGCAAAAGCCTCCCAGTACCGACATACGTTGGATAAAAGAAAAAAGAGGTACAACAAAATGACTCATACGTGAAATAATGAATCATTCAGAAGAGATGAATCAGACGTTAGCATTGACAGTTTTTATACAGCCGCATTTATCTGTACTAAGCTCAGACAACTCGGATTAACAATGCGATCTCATAATAGCTGAATACATTTGGCATTATCGACGAATGCCAAAGAGGACGAATACAGAAATATCCTCACTGCGACCAATACATCTTTTAATATATTTACACTATTTCATAGAATCTTACTTGTAGTGTTCGTTAAAGTTTGTAGTTTGTACGTATGCCTCACTAAAATATGATTGAGCATAACAAAATAATGCCATTACTGTTAAAATGCTGCATAAGTGGGAACTAAATCAAATATCTTATCTATTAATAATAGGTATTAAATGTTATAGAAAACGTATATCCTTTTATGGATTAGTCACGTTTCATCTTATGTTTACACATTGCAGTGCATAAACACCTGATTAAAAGGAAAATAGTTAGAAGCACGAGCAGCCCAGCTGCAGCCAGGAACAAAACCACATCAACAGAGTGGTAGGAGTACCAGGGCATCTTGTAGGACTCTGTTCTCAGGTGAGCTGCACCTTTGTGTCTCATCACAAACTCCACCCAGAACAGGGCGTTATCCAGCGGCTTCATCGGCTGATCTCTGTGCAGCCTGGAGAGCGTCTGCATGTTCCTCCTGTACGATGGCTCGTTCAACACTTCCTGTATGGCGTTCAGGAAGTTGTTGTCTTTGTCCACAGTTTTTATGGTCAAAAGCTTAGCCGCGCCTCTTACTTGCAGGCGCAGAAGGTTGTCGTATTGGTCAAAAAACAGAGGCAGACCAACTACTGGGACTCCGTGATAAATAGCTTCTTGAACTCCGTTTGTCCCTCCGTGAGCCACAAACAGTTTTATCTTGGGGTGTCCTAAAAGGTCTTTCTGTGGCATCCAGTCTACTAGCAAGGTGTTGTTCCCCAGGGTGGCCGGTCTGACCCCTTTGTGCCTCCAGATGACTTTCTGGGGTAATTTAGCGAAAGCTGCAGCCATCTCATTTGATATATCAGCAGGAAGCTCACTCACGAAAGTCCCCAGAGACATGATGATGACCCCGTGCTCTCCAGAACTCTGCACGAACTCCTCCAAGTGTTCAGGAAGAGGTTCTGCAGGTTTACACTGGAACCCGCCCATGTAGACAACGTTAGGCATGGTGGGCCGAGGGAACTCGAACACAAAGTCTACTCTCATCAGCCAAATATCTGCATTAAGCACTAAATGGTTGTAGTCAATATCTGGCCCAAGATATTTGTCACATAACTTCTGGTATATTAACTTAATCACCAGTTGTTGCTGTGTTTGAGTTATAATATGCAGAATCATGTTCTTGACTCTCTGAAAAAAGATCATTTTATCAGTGTTTCCAGATCCTGTAATGGGAATGTATGAAACGGGAGAAGGAGCGATCGCGAGATGAGCCTCTCCAGCTATCAACCACCGGATATTATAAACCAAAGGAAGGTTCAAATATTTGGCCAAAATGATACCGTGACCCCAGCAGGGGTCAGTGAGCACCATGTCAAAGTTGCCCTCTTTTACGGTTCTCATAAACTCTTTGTCATCTAGCATTGCTGATAGTAATTCACCCACAATAGCGTGAGCATCAACAAACGTGCCGAACATTCCTACAGTGAGGTGGAGGAAATTCGCCAGCGGAAGGGCCCCCCTTTCAAATTCCAGGGCGTGGTTTATAGCTTCTCCGATGAACTTCTGATCCATGCTCCTCTCCACCTGAACTGTAAGGATATTGTAATAAGGGGATTTATCCTTGACGTACCAGCTTTTGCTGGAACGTACAATAGTTATATTGTGTCCCCTGGAGTGCAAAGCTTGAAGAAGAACATCCATGTTTATCCAGTGGCTGCCTTCGATGGGGAGGACCAAGATGTTGCCACCTTGACATTCTCTGGGAAAGAGCACGAGCAGCAGCAAAACGCTGGAACAATAGATCAACCTCATCTGAAATTAAAACAATGTTCAATGATTTAAAAAAAAAAAAAAACTTGACGAGCGGCTAACGTATGGAACAGGTGTCCGGAGTCGGATGCAACATTCTACGGTAGCCCAGAACGGACAAACCCAACAAGTCAAAATCGGAAGGAGCTGATTTGCTGATTTGTTTCAAAAGTGATAGTTTTTTACAAAATAGCATTAAAGCAAGATTGCAAACTGCAGCTGGACTTTGCGAATCCTTCACATTTCCAGTAAACTACAGTAAATGTGCTAATATAGGCTCAGACATTGTTAACAGCCCAGTGTGCATGCCCACTTACTGTGATTTGGGTTATCGCTCAACACAGGAAAAGTCACAGCAGGGAACCACCTAACCACCAAGAAATGAGTAAAAGGTGAAAACAGTCAAGACTGTGCGTGCAAACACCACGATAAGGACGTTACTGATTAATGAAATAAGTATACCAGGACCTATGGCCCCTATTGACATGTAGACAGTCGCTACTAATGTTTTAAAATTTAAATCATCAATTAAGGCGTATACAAATCAAGTGTCCATTTGAATGATTTATCATCATCGAGGTCATTGATGACGTACTGTATTTGCCTTTCACCTTTTAAAAGGTGCTTGCATATTATATAATACTCATGTGTTTCAAAATCAAACTTTTTAGAACAATATCTCAACAGAGTCCCATTCCTAAAGAAATAGAAATATGAAAGAAAATGAAATCCTTTAAATCTCTTGTGAAAAATCTTTTCTTTTAAAGGGAGCAAAAGCGTCGAGCTTGTTAAAGTTACTTAGTTGCAGTATTCACTTCCTCTCCCCTCTCACCCTGGGTCCCAGGAGACACAGAAAGAACACTCACCATCGACAAACGGATCTATGACATTTCGTTCATGTGAGGAGTAAAACGGAAGCACCTTTAACGTCGTCGCTGCTTTGCAAAACCGCTGTTTAGTTCGCAATCGTCCCGTGCAGCCTTCGCTTTACACAATGACGTCAGCAGAGCTGATGGGAGGGTCGTTGGAGATTTCCTGAGTATCTATTGGTTAGAGAAAGAGAGACACGCACGAATTCACCAATCACACACGTTAAAGGCAGAGCAGAACCGGGACTCAGTTACGTTTCATTTCCAAAAACTTGAAGTCCAATTGTATCTTTTATCAGTTTGAGATATTTTTATTACTTAAAAAATGTTTGTGACTGCATTTAGGAGAAAACAAATTTGATTTAAAATAGGGGATGATCTGAGACTCTAATAGGACTCTAAGTGGCTCTGTAAAAACAAAGATGTCATTTTCCCCCGAGCCCGGTTCCCTCCCCTCCAGATGGCTGTCACATGACATCTGGCGTGAGAAAAGACTCGCAGGCGAAGACACGACCGATTCCACCGTAACTATCGCCGCCGATCCCCGTTACTTCACAGACGGGCTTCGTCGTGCAGTGTCTTCGCTCATTCCATTCCATTAAACTGTCAGTGGAATTTGTTCAATGTTAATATCAATATTGATCGATGTCACACCGCGTTTGCAAAGTTTTCCCTCATGAAATCGACCAGTAACTTTTGGAACAAGTTAAGACAATTATTCTGCATAGGATATTATTATTATAGCCCCAGTGGTCATTCTTTGTCATTATGGAGAATTCCGTCATTAACAATGTCTTTTTTTTTTTAAATAAATGAAGATTTAGAAAATATATATTGGCGGAATAATTCCGTATATAGCCATGTAGTCCTATTCAAGAGAAGGCGGTTATCTCTACGTCCAATCTCCAAAACTAGAGGCAACAACCTAAACTATCTAGTTTGATGAATAGCACCACATATAAAGTGAAACATGTGTATGTTTTTGATTATGGAGTGAACTGTCCGTTTAAAGATGAAATAAACAAGACAAAATGAAAATACAAAATGAAATCAAAGGGTCAGTATTTGCTTTACAAGCCAACAAAATAAAAAGTGAGAAATACAATCTTAATCAAATTTAAAGTGAAAATTCAATATAAAGCAAATGCTGGTTTGCTTTATATATCTCCATCCCATACACTAAATACAAATCCTAAAACACGCCGTCGCCATGGAAGCACATAGGCCTACATGGGGAATGAGAGCAACTGAGAGCGGTACAAAATGTAGCATCACATCACTGGAACGACGTGGTGTCTGCGTGGAGTGTGGAGGGGGGGGGGGGGAGGGGGGCGACCATCCCAGTCTGTGATTAGTAACCACAGGAGGGCAAGGAGAAGGGGGCAGGGCGGGCTCTCCGTAGGAGGAGGAGGAGCAGGGTGCGTTGCCTGTACGCAATTGAAGGCAGCGCGGAGTGAAGCAGCATCTGTATGAGGAGAGAGACAGAGAGGGAGAATCAACCTGCATGGAATGGAGGAGCGCTAAAAGCAGCACTATCGTCCAGACGGCCACCGCCTCCACCAACGCTGCCCCTCTGGATGGTGTGTTAATGGAAGACGCTCAAAGCAGGTATGTACACATCGTGTGCGTGCGTACTGTGATGCACCCCGGAGGGACAGGGTAAAGGTGTGATGAATGCTCTTTGTCGTTTAGTATGGTTGACACCAGCGTGTTTAGCTTACACTGAAACCTGTGACTGCATAGCATGACGGGCGAGGACCAGGCTCCCTTGGGATTTGAACCCTTAACCCCAAGGGACGATTGAAGCCTCGGGTTGAGGGGTAGCTCAAATGTATGCCAATATCACAACCCCTGTCTTTGGTATTTATTTTCCAGCTCTGTGCTGCCCGAGGGACCAGCTGCGTGCATCCAGTGCCTCCTCTGATATGATGCTGAGAGCAGCAGGAGCAGCCACCTCTCTTGCACTGCTGCTGCTGCTGCCATTGCTGTGCTGCTGCCACATGTGCCACTCACTGCGTAAGTTTTCCTCCGGCCGGCAATGCCTCGTCAAAAGGAACCGTGGTGGGATTCACCAGCATCGGCGCGACGGATGGCATAGCCGAAGAAAAGTTGGACTCGAGTGGATGGAGGGAAGACAACTTACCTCAGAACGTGAAGATTTTAGCTGCGGGGGAGTTCATAATTAAACAAACAAACTATTTTCTAACAAATGAAAGACAGAAGCACAATGATTAAAATAGGAATACACTTGTATCCTCATACATTTGAGATACTGCTGGGATTTACTCATAACAAGAATCTTTATTTACAACATGATACAGAATAAATAATGCAGGAAACCAGGGAAATAGTAGGCAAACGCTAACACGTTAGATGGAGCGCAGCGTTTACATCACTGGGCAACAAGGGACGTCTGTGTAATGGAATGAGTACAACACCCCCTGAATGTGTTCTGGAAATGTAAAAAAAGGCAATTTTCATTGGGGTTGCATGCGGTCGTCAAAAGGCAAACAAACCAGAACACGGACATCCACACGAACAGACAGCAGATTACCATTTGTTAACGTGGCCACTCATGGCTGTCCTTTCTTCTGCACGTTTACTGAGTTGAATCCAGCACAGCTGTACGGGTGAGCGGGTCAGGGGATGAGAGCTGGGGCAGTAAACTCTGTAATGACAGCTTGTGGGATGGTGAGGTTCAGCTGGGGGGGGGGAAGAATGAGAAAGGTGAATTCAGTGTGCACAACACAGATCAACCGTTTGTATGTACAAGTAGGAGGAGAGGGAAGAGACAGGCAGCGCTGTTGCCATGACAGCGTGTATATAATTGTGTGTGTGTGCATGTGTCAGCCATACAGTGTTGTTGTAGACATCTACAGTATGTTAATGCCGATGTTCATTTGTGTATGGTGTTGATGTTTTCAACCTGTGCTATCCGATCTGTTGGTTTCTGTTTGTGCCTTTCTGTTATTGATGTTTTGCATATTTTGGGCAAAGTGTCATCTTCGTTTGATCTCACTGCAATCCTCACCGTCTGTTTTTGGTAGCGCACCACGCGTTTCATTCATATTGATTGCGTTTTTGTCATGCTGCCCGATGTATCTCTCAGACAGCACTGAATCGGGAATCCTAGAAAAAGAGTTAATTCATTAAATATTATTTCACAAATGAGCCTGTCCTTTACCTTGTAGCACATACATTATATTTTTATATTAGTTCATTTTATAGGTATAATGAATAGAGCCAAGCAGACTCTGCTGTGTGCATTTCAGTAGGTCAAGTTGCGGTTGATAATGATAATGAATTTGCTTATCATACAGTCATTGGTTGAGGTTGTATCAGCCTCGTCTTTATTGATCCAATATCCAAGCACACTGTAGACAACCATACATTTTTAGCCAGCCTTGTAGTAGATTCTTAGCTATATTCTCCTTTAGTAAATTGAGTTTTTGACATGATGGGGTATGATTTAAGGACCAGGATGAATAGAAATGCTCTGTGATTCAAAACGTGATCAATACTTTCTACACCGCCGAGGCGCTCTGCTTCAGCAACACAATGCACCAGTTTGATTAAAGCAGTCCTCCTGTAATATGAAACAGGCCAGTTAGCCTCATCTTGTAACTGCACACAACATCATGGCTACATGTATGCTTTTATTCACGTACGGATAGAACAGCAGTCAAGTCATTCGTTTCCATGGCTTCATCTCCCAAGATCCATTGGTATGCAGTCTTGTATTTCATAAAAACCTGCACCTTGAATTGAGAGTGCATGTATTATTTAAAATCACAAATGCATATGAGTCAGAGAAGGCATATTTGTTTGTTAGTGTAGTGAAGGACATGCTGTACTGTAAACAGGAAATGGGCTCTACCTCTCATTCAGGCTAATATACAGAGCATGCTATAAGGACTCTTAACACCAGTGTCATTTCAGTGTGTGTTTGGGTCAAAGCTTTAGTTCCTCTGGAATCCAAAGCCATTGAAACGATATCCAGAAACAAGATGAACTAAACATTGTAGTCAGGTCAGACAGGTGAATGCAGTGAAAGCAATGCTCAAAGCCAGAAATGGATCCTCAAGCAAAGGGCTGATGTGTAAATCCAAGGGGCTGCTGGTTCGGATAAAAGAGGACGGCGGTATGAATCTGTATTTTTTCAATTTCAGCTTCTATTCATTTAATTTTTTCAGGGGTTCCGAAACTCTCCTCCTTTGCAAAAGCAGAAGACAAGCTCTTCAAATACCTCTTTGGAAACTATCAGAAGTGGGTCCGTCCTGTGGAATACCTCAACCAGACGATCAGTGTGAAGTTTGGACTGGCCATATCCCAGTTAGTTGATGTGGTGAGGCAAAAAAGCACTGATCATTGATGTTGTTATAAATGTCTTTGTGCCACTGAAGCGTCAACTACATTCCATGAATGTCATTAAACAGTCTGGTTGAGAGATACTGTATATTTAAATATTTTTTTCCCCACTGTTATAGGATGAGAAAAATCAACAAATGACAACCAATGTGTGGATGAAACAGGCAAGTTGAGCTACACATCTTACCTAAACATTGCATTTCACCATCATGCAGTACACATGCAGGTAAAGTTATGATATTAATATATACTTTATTATAAAACATGCTCTGGCATTAAATGGCATTTAGAGGCAACCAGTCACACTTTTTTCATCTTTTCTGGTGGCATTTCACTGACAGTCCTCATTTATATGAGTCCTTTCGGGCCTGTGCCCACGCACCTGCCTCCACAAGCTGTCCCTCACCACCCCTGCTCCTGTCAGCCTTATTCGTGGCCTCGGATGTGCTGTCCGTCATGCATCTTTTTTGTGTCATCCCCACAGACCATTTTTTGCCATTTGGGTCAGTTGCTCCCTTTCACGATGATGGATTGCATTATGCAAAACAGGTGATGGAAGGGCAATGGGCCACAGTACTCGTGTCTATCTATCAAGCGTATCATTTGCATGAAGTATGTCAGATTTAGTCATTGTATCTCCTTTGTTTTCCAAGGTACTTCAAGCATAAAGCTAAATTAAATAGATTGTTTAAAGAAGCAGCCTATAGAAGCTTGCCATGTACCCCTCCCGGAGGCCTGGATCAGGGCAAGACATGGTATGGAAGACTAACATCCAGCACACTAAACTACCTTTAAGGAAAAGTTTAACGTAAAAAAAAAAAATCCTTTTTGGCTTTCTTAAAAAAACAAGTTTACAAATAGTAAAGTTCTGAGTTGCTGGTGGGCAGGTTTTGTTACCAAGTACCAAAATTGTAATTTCATCATTAGATATTTTGCAAAACATCAAACCGTCTTAATATATGTTTCCTTCTTGAGTAGGAGTGGATTGACCGGAAACTCAGATGGAACCCTGACGATTATCTGGGCATCACAACAATCCGAGTTCCTTCCAACCGGATCTGGCTCCCTGACGTTGTGCTGTATGATAAGTAAGTGACATTAGAAACGCAGGGAAATGACAATTATACACGTATGACCATACTGATGTTCTCACACCACTCATCATTATTCTAGCTTAGTGAATCTTTTAGAAGAATAAATTAATTGAAATTGAACTTTCAACAGTTCAGATGGGCGTTTTGAGGCTACTGTCACCAAGGCAGTTGTTAAGTACAATGGAACCATATCATGGACACCACCAGCAAATTACAAGTCAGCCTGCACCATCGATGTCACCTTCTTCCCTTTTGATCTGCAAAACTGTTCAATGAAGTTTGGCTCCTGGACATACGATGGCTCCCAGGTGAGTCTCAACTCTTAGTACATTGGTGTCATTCATGACCAGTGGTTGGCATAGGATTTAACTCTGTGTTTAACAGGTGGACATAACTCTGGAGGAATTCCACGTAGACAAGAAGGACTATTTTGACAACGGTGAATGGGAGATTGTGAAGGCCACAGGCAGCCGTGGTCTAAGGACAGACAGCAGCTCCACTTATCCCACCATCACCTACTTCTTCATCATCCGCAGGTTGCCTCTTTTCTACACCCTCTTCCTCATCATCCCCTGCATTGGCCTGTCCTTCCTTACGATCCTCGTCTTCTATCTGCCTTCCAACGGGGGAGAGAAGATCTCCCTCTGCACCTCAGTCCTGGTGTCTCTCACAGTTTTCCTCCTGGTCATCGAGGAGATCATCCCTTCCTCTTCGAAGGCTATCCCTCTGATTGGGGAGTACCTGGTCTTCACTATGATCTTTGTCACGCTTTCCATCGTCATCACCGTCTTCGCCATCAACATCCACCATCGCTCCTCTTCTACACATCACAACATGGCCCCCTGGGTGCGGAGGATCTTCCTGCACCGCCTGCCCAAGCTGCTGTGCATGCGCAGTCATGCCGACCGTTACGCAACAGCCGGAGTAGCAAGAACAGGAGGAGCAGAAAGAGAGGGCAAGATGAAGGACTCAGCACCTGAACTGACTTCTCTGCTCTACACCAAACATAACCTACAAGCAGCTTTAGAATCCATTCGATACATAACCATGCATGTGGTTAAAGAAAACGAGGTCAGAGAGGTGAGTATGTTGGATTTTGTGCATGCGTAGCTCCATCGGTAACAACAGAAATGATCAACAGTTGGATTAACCCATAACAAATTAACAAATATCTACAAAGACTGTAATAAAGGTTGCTAGTTGAATAATGTATGTTAATTGCCCACTATAAAGATTATTGAAATCTAATTTCGAACATCTGCTTTTTTTGGTTTCAGGTTGTTCAAGACTGGAAATTTGTAGCACAAGTCCTGGACCGAATGTTTCTGTGGGCCTTCCTCCTGGTGTCGATCCTCGGCTCTGCTCTCCTCTTCATCCCGGTTATCTACAAATGGGCCAACATCATTGTCCCAAAACATTTTGGAAGTACCCTCTAAGAACCACAGTTTAAATAATCAGAATTGGAGGCAAAGCACATTAACAGGTTGTTATGGGTCTTGAGATACTGTGATTACCTCCCGGATAGAGGTCTGCGCTGGTTATCTACAGTTATTCCACAATCCAAACCCAATGCATTCATTTCCAAATTTGTTTCACATATGGTTGCAGGGTTGTTAACATCATATGATAAAGAACAAAAGAATAGAACCGCTTATCCTTCTTATAATAAATAAATATAAAGTTCCTATATCCCTCAATTAACTTTTGTGTGTACATTCAAAAGACCACAGTTACATTTACACAGTCTGTAGATTATAATTCAGATTAGTCATGCAGATACATTTATCTTTAGGGACACTCACGGTTTAATGCATTCTCTCTTTATTACTCTTGACTATGCGCGGACAGGAGTTGTGGACTTTCATGCCCAGACTTGAGTTTCTCTGGCAGCTCTTCCTTTCAGCGCATCGACAAGTCTCACATTCTTTATTGGTGCTGCAATGTGCTCCATGGCAACAGATTGGTGCAGAGGCACCGTGGGCCCTGACTGAATGTTTTTAACACACGGTAGCTTAGCACAAAGCCTAGCTCCCTCAAATATGTATTTTTATTTGATTTGATTCGTACCTCACATGATGTACTATGGAGATTTGTGATCCTAAGGTCACACCACTCCCTCCATTCACTGTGTGTTTCACAATAGCTGAAGAGCTTAGCCATTGGTTGAGCATGCTCTGCCTCTCCGTGGCCGTGTCTTCATATTACAGCTGAGAAAAACAAAACAATAAAGCAGTGATTGTAGTAATACAATCTGATATTCTACTTCCAATTTTTGATTAAATACAAGTTCTAAACAATAACAAGCACGGAGAAAAGTTGGGTGTTGTTTTTTGGTCTAACATGGTAACATAAACCAAAGAAATATGGATGAAATTGAAGAAATGGGGAAGGAGACCAGAAACCAGAATAAAATCAATTCACATGTCTTATGATATATTATGAGGCACTCTTGGACCGCTGCGGTTATGCACTGCTTTTGGTTTGTCGGTACCATTGACTGGTGAGAAGGTTTGATATGAAGGCACAGAAAACCATTTGGACTATGTTTGTTCTCTCCACAAGGATTAAAAGCTTTTTGCTAATCATTAAAAAAATTCTGAACAGAATTCCCACAGGAAGTGAAAGAAAGATTTTGTACTGACAGTCCTTTCTCTTAGATCTTAGGGTTTTGCAAATTCACCACGCACCACTGACGTGACTGGTATTCACAAATAGTCCAGTGGTTCCAGATAGAAAAAGTAGAATTGACAAAAATACCTTTGTAGTTCTTGTATTCAAAGATGAAGAAAACGCCGGATGGACAGAGGTCATCGCTGATCAAAAGGTTAAATCAAATGTATTTAATCAAAGAGATGGTGTTGTGGTAAAAAGAACATCTCAGCTGAGGAGCCGCTGGTCTCAGCAACCAACCGGCCCCAGGTCAGTCCTTTTGACCATCCCTAGTGCCCGTTTGTCGCCTCCACCAGTGAACTCGAGAACAATGGTTCCTACAGGTATTTATAACAATGCTTAAAGGTGTGAAAGTCAGTGTCCACACCTCTGGGAGTGGTCTTCTGGTGAGTTCATTGTAACTCGGATTTTGAATGTCCCTTAGTCAATATCAGTTGTTGTGCAAGTATTACATGCATGCATTCCAGTTGATTACATTACATCAAATACAATCATAACTACATTGGTATTATTCTATTACAGTTGCAGAATTACAGTGGTTTTACAATATTGTCATTACTTTATTGATTACACAGTTTCAGAATCATGGCTGTATTCTGGTGTACACTATATGCATTTTTATTAATTTTATGAACCGTGTCGTATATTTGTTTCTAATATCCTACATAGCTTGTAGTTTGTTTGAAGGTGTGTGCATGTTTTCTGAAAAAACGATCATAAACGAAAGGAAAACCATTACACACAAGCATTGTAGACAATGACATGGCACGCACAGCTACGCGTAGCGCATCCACAAGGTGGAACCTTGAGGCCACATTGGTGACGGCTACCTACACTAAATCACAGTTAGCAGCGATTAACTATCAGGACATGTAGTTGTATAACGTGAACCCAGAGGTTGGACACCAAGACTAAAGTCTAAATATAAAAAATACTTACTTATGGACAGTACTTGACTGAGCTCGCAGATATTATACATGATATTAATTCAGCAATAAAGTGAGTTGAAAAACAAGTAATGACCAAACAAAGGCACAGTGAATGTTGTAACATGAGGCACCTGTTCAAAAAACCCTGAACACGAAGAGATGGAACATACCACTCCAGGGGCCGGGGGGGGGGGGGGACTAGAGCATACCACTCTAGGAGGGGGCTAATCCAATCTGGCCTTTATAACAGAGAGGTAAAAAAAAAGGGTCTCCACTCGGAGGCCACATTGTTGGACATTTCTGCAGAAAAACATTATCCGTAATCCACTTATGTAAGCACCCCTGGAGTTAAGCCAGGGGTTCGTTTTTGTGTTTCACACCGACATCTGAGTACTTCACATAAGGTATGTTACAGATCAATCTTGCATGTAATTTAAATAATTATCCTCTGTTGGGGCATAACTTGAATGTAGAAAATAATTTAATTATTGTATTTTATGGCGTTTTCTTGATTATTTTTTTATTTTTTTATTTTTTCCCTTCAGGTCAAAGATGCCCCCCAACAGATATGCAACTTCTCTTCTCCTATTATCTATCGTACTGTTGTCATGGAGAATTTGTCACGGACGAAAGATTTTGATTTTTCCTTTAGAGGGAAGTCACTGGGTCAACATGGATATCGTGGTCAAAGCTCTCCACTCTCGAGGACACTCTGTTGATGTGGTACGAACCGATAAGAGCTGGTACATCAAGGAGGACTCCCCGCATTACAAGACAATCACGGTTCCTGTCACAGAAGCATTTAATCCTGACTTCATCAACCCAATCCTGAAAAAGGTCATTGACATAGAAAGAGGGGAGAGCTCGGTTTGGAGCTTTGCAAGTTTGCAGGCTGAGATGTTTTCTGCAATGTTTAACGTGCATAGAATAATGTGCAAAATGGCTACTGACATGTTTGAAGATAAGGACTTAATGAAGACGTTAAAGGACAGAAAATATGACCTTGTCTTAACCGATCCGGCGTGGGGAGCAGGAATATTGTTGGCTCATGCTCTTAAGCTGCCTCTGGTCTATAATGTGCGGTGGATAACTAGCGGAGAGGGACATATGGCAATTGCGCCTTCTCCCTTATCTTACATCCCATTGACCGGCTCAGGACTATCCGACAAAATGACTTTCATTCAAAGGGTTAAAAATCACCTTTTCTCTATTATTTGGCTAGCTCAGGATGTACTTCTTATCCGTCCACAGTATCAAGCTTTGTGTGACCAGTTCTTCAGCTCAGAGGTCAGATATATTGACTTACTGCACGGGGCAGACCTGTGGCTGATGAGAGTGGACTTTGTGTTCGAGTTCCCTCGTCCCACCATGCCTAACGTTGTCTACATGGGCGGGTTCCAGTGTAAACCTGCAGAACCTCTTCCTGAACACTTGGAGGAGTTTGTGCAGAGTTCTGGAGAGCACGGGGTCATCATCATGTCTCTGGGGACTTTCGTGAGTCAGCTTCCTGCTGATATATCAAATGAGATGGCTGCAGCTTTCGCTAAATTACCCCAGAAAGTCATCTGGAGGCACAAAGGGGTCAGACCGGCCACTCTGGGGAACAACACCTTGCTAGTAGACTGGATGCCACAGAAAGACCTTTTAGGACACCCCAAGATAAAACTGTTTGTGGCTCACGGAGGGACAAACGGAGTTCAAGAAGCTATTTATCACGGAGTCCCAGTAGTTGGTCTGCCTCTGTTTTTTGACCAATACGACAACCTTCTGCGCCTGCAAGAAAGAGGCGCGGCTAAGATTCTTACTTTAGCCACAGTGGACAAAGACAACATTTTCCTGAACGCCATACAGGAAGTGTTGCACGAGCCCTCCTACAGGAGGAACATGCAGAGGCTCTCCAGGCTGCACAGAGATCAGCCGATGAAGCCGCTGGATAACGCCCTGTTCTGGGTAGAGTTTGTGATGAGACACAAAGGTGCAGCTCACCTGAGAACAGAGTCCTACAAGATGCCCTGGTACTCCTACCATTCTGTTGATGTCATGCTTTTTTTACTAACAACTGCAGTGGTTGCTTTGTTATTTGTTGCTGGGTTACTATGGTCTTGCTTTAGATTGGGTTGTAAAAGAAAAGTGAAATTGGACTAAACAGGAAAGAAGGAACGAAACTGCGTCACTCTCTTCACTCTTCAGTTTTTCAGATTTGGTGTATTGAGATAAGCTTAAAAAGAAAAAACAATAAAAACGGAAAAACACTGTAATTAGTCCTACATCTTTATTCAAAAATTGAAAACATATTCATAGTAAGGAATTTGATAAACTGAAAAGATTTCCAACAAAAATGCAACTTAAAAACAGTTATGGACCAATTTGTCCTACTCGAGGTACAGCAGGGATTATTATAGATGAGCTGCATATTTAAGCCTTCACTGAATCAAAATCATTTGTTTACGGCTTTTTCAGGCCAACTGCTGCTCCCTAAAATTTAATTACAAAGTGGTAACTCCATTCTTTCCATCAAGTCCTCTGTTGTATTTCCCACAGGAGTTGCAGCTTCTGTCACTGATAGAGTGGCTTCCTTATCAGATAAGGTCATTGAACTCGGTAGACACCGAGTGCTGAACAAAACAGGAGTTCATCACAAACAGGCGTTCCAGTTGCGCCACTAAGTTGACTAAAATCAGGTGAGCACTGGATCTGGTCATGGTGCCTTTTTGCAGGATAGTGAATACAGAGCGGCAGCAGGTGGATCATCTGTGAGTGAGACGTTCACGGTTAAAAAAGGAGAACGTGCAGCAAATAGTTTTACAGGCAATCATGCATTTAGTGCTGGTTTGACTTTATTCATTTTTACCACTTGTGGCGGCAGAATTAGCTCTTGTGAGTCAGAGAGCACGCTAAACAATGCTATTCACAGCCGTGCTGTTGCTGCAAATGAAGATGTGGTTTCCTGTAAGATGCTAAAAGAAAAACGTTTGCATCTGAAATTACCAGTAGAATCACACTATGTCAAGATTTTCAAGCCAATAGCTCGATAAACAAGTTTATTGTTTTTAATAAGTTGCCTTATTATCAAACATCGTAAGAAATAATCTGCTTGATAAGAAGAAAAAATAAATTAATTTAGCATGTAACGTGTATCAGTTGGCCAACGCCTGATTAACGCACTTTCCACCATGTCTCTCATGTGATTAGCTCAAGGACGTTATCGTCTCTGTGACTTTCAACATAAAGAAATGTTTTAACTATTTTTATGATAGCACAAAGTAGCGTTTCACTTACCCACAGCAGAGTACAGTGCGACACAATTTTCAAAATTAATGGAGACTGCACCATGAACAATATTCTGATAACTGAGAAAATGGTGTCAGTTAATAATATTTCAACAGAAGTCAGATTGAACATGTTTCATGTGTATTCAAATATTACACCTTTACAATGGTGTCATTGAATAATTGTTTGTATTAAAATTAATTCATGTTTCTTACTCATCTCCCTCTGAGGCGAAAGAATCTCCTGAGTTGAAAAAGATTTAAAGAGAGACCAATAAACGGGTTGATTGTTTTCTAGACCAATGTCCATGTATTACAATCAGAACACAATGTAGCTGCATTATGTTCATGTAAGTCATCATAGATCATTTCATTGCTTTTACTGTAACTCCATTTTCAACGTACCGTCTTGTGATTCCACGTCCTCTACCTCGCTCTCTTCCTGCCTCCTTGCCGCACTGTAAAAACAAATACTCAAATATTCAAACCATTGAATCAATTCAGTGTTGGCAGATTACCCAGTGTACCCAGTATAGTTTGGTTTATGGTAAACATTGTGCACATACAACATGCTTATGAGCAAATATCACTGAAAACAGGAGTATGAAATGAAAACCATCTCTATGTCATATTGGAAATGCTCTGAATGCAGCATCATGAGACTGGGTTAAGAGTTAAACTCACTTGAATGAAGCTGAGAAGGCCGCTGAAATGGGAAAAAAAAACATAAAACGTGTTTAAATGTTCAAGTAAGAAGATGTTGTTAGTGAGACAAGGCAGTGTCAAAGAGAATGGAAGTCGTCCCTCGACTAATAACAGCTCCTTTTTGTGTCATTCGTTATTAACTCTCAAACTTGCCTTTTGATTTCTCTTCGATGATCTTTCTCTGTTTGTGGATCCACCACAGACAGAGACCCACTACTAACATCAGGGCTCCTACTCCGCAAGACACCATCGCTCGGTCGACCACACTTTCTGGAGACCAAGAACACACACATTTTAAAAAGCCTTTTAACACTGAAGCACCGTATAAAGCAAACTGAAAATCCATATTTTTTTACTTTCAGTAAACCCCTTAACCTTTGACCACGAGCAACACTGCGTTATTTCCACGGAGTGTTGCCTCGTGCTCTGGAACGCATTTGGATGGCAGCACCACGCAGCTGTAGTGGCCCCCATCCCTACTGACGGCACCTTGGATGGTGAAAGTGGCCTCCATCCGGTTAACATTGAACGTTTGCACTTGGACGAGTGTCTCATTCCTCCTCAGGTGGGAGTGGATGAATGGACAACCACCAAGTGTTTGCAGGGTGTCAGAAACAGAACATCGAAATGCAACGTCGTCCCCCTCACTGACAGCCAAAGGTCCAGCTATTGAAATGTCTGCAGGGAGATAATTGGCTGTGCGGTAAAAAAAAGAAAAGGCAACATTAGAGGAGAGAAATAAGGTTTACATGTTTTTATATTTGGATGTGAATACTTACGTATGACCAGAATCTGAATCACGTTGAGTCCTCTCATTGGTGCTTTGGGGAGTAAATCATTCTTTATCGAGAAAACACAACTGTATTTTCCACTGTGATTAAGGCTTACATTGCGTATGATGAAGAGGGTATCATCGCGATCTTCCTTCTGCTTCTTATGGTCAATCCATATGTCATTCTTACATAAATAAAGATAAACCATGGTGTTTTTCTTTAACCCAAATGTGCTGCAGGTTACATACAGGTCGCTGTTCTCGCTGATATTCTTCTGATCTGTGAGTATCTTCACAGGAACAAAATCTGTTGCATTGGTTTGTTGAAACAGAGACAGACGTTTCATTTATAAACGATGCAATTCTATACAATCACATTGAGAACATATCAGACAGATGTGTTATCTTAAATGAAACCTCACCAGTAGTTGGGCTGGTAACCTGAATTGCAAAAGCCCCTTGAAGAAAAGAAGCCAATTTTAATCTCTTTATACAAACAATTAGGTAGTAGTTAAATAAACACAATGCTTGTCAAGGTACTTACACAAAAGGAGGGTGATTATGATCATGATCATAAGCAATGTAACAGCCATCAACTCCACAGACACTGTGAAACCAAATACAGCCACTCATCAGGGGTTTGTCTAAACCCACAAAGGGAAAATTATAAATGTGCTAAAACGGCACTGAGTCGCTTCCTCTGCGTTCTGTGGTGACTTGAGACCCGCTAGTTCCAAAATTAAGCACCGCTCGTGCTTTTACTAAGCAACTGTTGACGGGTGAAACCACCACATCTTCTTTTGCTTTGAAAATAGTTTTGCTCCTTTGCTTTCTTTTTCCGTAGCGGGTATTTTTCAGAACGGAACTTTTCAAAAGGGCCGATGAGAAAACATTCACTGACATCTTTCAAGGCTCCTTCCTTGCGTAACTTTATTTTGGCAGATCAGCCACACACAGGTTCTCAGTGAGCTTTAATTACATTCATTAGCCAGGGGTTCTTATCAGATGAGACTGAGAGCCGGTATCTGTCTGTGCTTCCCTGCCAGCATTCAATTAAATATGGGCTGGATTTTCTTGTAATCACACAGCCATCTGCTCACATGTTTTGTTGTATAATGAATCAGTGAGTACACTAATGGTACATTAATGAGTGTTTTGGTAACTAGTACCTACCATGGCGGTTCTGATATAAGTTTAATCCCCATCAGCACATTTGATCGACAAATGTGAGAATTTGACCCAAACTTAAGAGCATCAGACCTGTGAGGGAAGCACTGGGGAAGCAGGGCCGTCCCCTTGTGGTAAGAGAGCAGAACATTGTATTCTCGTCGGGAAAGAGGGTTCGAAGAAGAAAAGAGAGGAATCCAATAAGGTCCCTCATCACTCGCCCTCTGTATTGATTGCGATCCGACAGGAAAAATAAGCTCCTAGAGGGCACGGAGGATGTGGAACGGAATAAAAAGCAAAGCCTCGGAGTACTAATGGAAATTACATCTCCATCCTACAGGATCTTTGTCAATGTCATAAATCCCGGTAATTGAGAGAAACCAGATACAACGTATGTCCCCCTCATGCCTTTGTAAAACATGTTTTTAATATTTGGTTACATTATTTGGTTAAGACAGAAGTAAAATATTTTTGTACATGCTTTTCCATTTGCTCATGGAATTTAAAGAAATTATACAATTTTCAAAAGGTAGAAAAATGGAAGAGAACAGAATATGTGACAACGGAGAGGACGTCAAAATGAGCTACATATCCCTTTACACAAAGACTGTATTACCGATTCATTGCCACATGGTGGCACTCTCTGAGCACAGTCCACCACATTGCTTTCTCCTCAGAAACGTGAAAATAAATGTTAAACACACTCAATCTGGATTTAACATTTAAAGAAGATATCACAGGGTTTCCTGGTGACACAATGGTTGCATTTTGAGAATACACATACCCTTAATTTGAAATGAGATGCTTCAAGTTCACAAATTCTAATCAGTTACCCTTCAAAGTTATTGACACTACAATGTTGTGGCCTTGGCATGAATGACTATTTTCATAAAAAGGGGACAAGTGTGCGCACGTCCAGACAAAGATACTCTGCTGCAAGAAACAAACAGCCGCACGCAAAGCTGCTGACCAGCAGGTGATAATGATTGGAGTTGATCACTGCCTCTCCAACAAATGGTTGCTGTTGTCTTTCACACTCTCACAGAATTTAAATGTTGCCTAAACCAGAGAAAATAAGAACAATTAACTATTTATTTATTGCGCAGCATTGTAGATCGCTATCTCCTGCAAAACAATTAAATGACTAAACACTGTGGTCTTTGCCATCGTTTAACAGTGGCTTCTGCCTTGGGGAGCCTTTCTTCAACCAAAAAGAGCATCTATTTAAAACATTCACCTAAAGGTTTCCTCCTCGACTTTCGATCAGCTCTGTGTCTCCCCTCTCTGTGTCGAGTCTTATAAATAATAACTGCTGTGCAGTATTAAAATCGGGATATTGAGTTATTTTCTTTATCAAACTTATTCAGATGTCATCCCAAAGTAATAACGGCTGGAGGAAGAGGCCAGCTGTTCCCAGGATGCACACGAGGACAAAAACCCAGAGGAAGATTCTGTCGATAACCATGGCAACGTACTTCCAGTCATCCTGAACCTATGAGAGGATCAAATTGAAAAAGATTTTAGTGGGTTCCCTCTAAAGGTTTACAAGGTTTGTATGATTATGAGCACTCACCTCCTTCGCCTCATTCTGAAGTCTCATATTCTCTGCTATGTATTTGACACTTTCGATGGCCTCCTGGACCTCAGGGGACAGCGGCAACATGGACATTGTTCCTCCTGCCACGGACTCGGAGCTGGAGCAATGACTCCCCCCCCCGACAGCACTGCCCCCACTCAGCGCCCCCATGCTGCCCAGTCCCCCGCTGCCTCCCCCCGAGTCTGCAGGCAGTTTGCTGGATCTCTGGCGCCAGCAGCAGTTGCAATGTCCCTTACAGCACAAGAGCGCTGAGCCGGCACCTTTGGCCGGGTCTCCACTCAAGTTATTGAGGTCCGAGAGCTCTGTGTTGTTGAAAAGCCGTTGGCGGTTTGTCAGGCTGGAAACCACGCTGGGGGGGGGCGGGGCCTGAGGTTTGTGCTGCTTCTGCAGAGCACCTGACGGGTGAATGGCACAGGGCCTCAAATGCGTCGTCTGAACATCGCCGGCCGCCGCCAGCACCCTCTCAGCGTCCGTCTCTGGCCTCGTCATGAACATCACCCTGGGCAGCAGCCCCAGGAACACAGTCCGCACCCAACAGGGCATAGTGTGGGTCTTGGGTGTGCGGTAGTGGACGTTCAACACGAAAACAGTGATCACAATAGAGAGGGTGACGAAGATCATGGTGAAGAGGAGGTACTCGCCAATCAGGGGGATGACTAGCGAGGTGGAGGGGATGGTCTCTGTTATGACAAGGAGGAAGACAGTTAGAGACAGGAGAACAGAGATGCACAGAGTGATTTTCTCCCCGCAGTCAGATGGCAGGTAGAAGACAAGTACGGTGAGGAAGGAGATGAGGAGGCAAGGGATGATCATGTTGATGGTGTAGAAGAGTGGCAGACGGCGGATGTACAAAGAGTAGGTAATATCCGTGTAGATTTCCTCGCAGCAGTTGTACTTAATGTCGTGTTTGTAACCGGGGGCATCAATGATCGTCCATTCGCCACTTTCCCAGAAGTCCTTGAGGTTGATGGTTGAGCCAATAAGCACCAGATCGATTTTGGCCTTGTCGTAGGTCCAGGAGCCGAACTTCATCGTGCAGTTTTGGTAGTCAAAGGGGAAGTAAGTTACGTCTATCTTGCATGAGCTCTTGAATATGGCAGGAGGGATCCAAGTGACATCACCGTTGAAACGAAGGAGGGCCTTCGTTTTGTCATCGACCTGGAAATCTCCAACTGCACTGCAGAGAGGGAGAAAAGGAGCGAAGAGTGAGAGAATAAAAGTGGAAGGCGGAGTGAAGGTTGGAGACATTAAATGGAGATGTTGTGCCAGGTTTTGGAATTGTGATGTAAGACTCACTTGTTGTAGAGCACAATGTCTGGTTTCCATATCCTGTTGGATGGCACTCGGATAAAATCAACGCCTCCAAAATCCTTTGGATTCCATCTAAGTTTGTAGTCATTCCAGATCTGAAATAAAAAAAATATTCATTTACACCAAACGCAAGTCAGAATAAAATTGGCGAAACAAAAATATTCAATGAGATGATGATCCAATGATTATCAAAGGTAATTCCATCCATCCTCCATCGTCAAACCGCTTATCCTGCACACAGGGTCGCGGGGGGGCTGGAGTCCATCCCAGCCAACTTCGGGCAATAGACAGGGTACATCCTGGATTGGTCACCAGCCAATCTTGCTGTGAGGCAACAGTGCTAACCCCCACGCCACCGTGCCGCCCTCAAAGGTAATTACGAGGGGTAAATGAAGATATGTACCAAATGTAAAGCTACGGCATCCAATAGTTCCATTACACAGACCGACCACCAAGGCATTCTTTTATTTATGATGGTGACACTCGTAAAGCAACAACAATAAATCCACCTCAGAAAGCTGCAATGATTTACCATAACTAAAAAAAAAGTAATTATCAATATTATTGTAAGATTTGGATGGTGAGTGCAAAGAGAGACTCCAAAACAACAGACATTAAAATAAAGTGAAACAGTGCTTTGACACTCAGCACAAAAGAGCAATCACAGCTCAAGCCTTAAGCAGTAGCAAGGCTCTGGGCAACTGTAGTTTGGGACTTGGAACTTTCCTTGGTTGAATCCAATGTGGTTCAATGCACCATCCCTCATTGCAGCAGACATTTTGCAGGGAATAACAAAACGCCATCAAGCTATAAATCCGGCTTTTGCTTTACGTTTGTTGTACATGATTAAGAAATACAATAAAGTTCAAATCAAGGTTTTGAGCGTTGCAGATGTTAAGAGGTACCTGTCACATTGTCAGAAGGAAAATTATAAATAAGTATGATTTGAACTCCAGACCACAGTCAAATGATTAAAATCCTCATAATTAAAAAATATTGGAAATCTACCAACAACTCCGAGTGGAATTGGTTTGAGGGATTGTTTTCTTCTAAAAAAGAGGACTAAAATGATCGATGTGCTTCCTTCAAGAAATAATTCAACCTGTCAGTCAAGCCCTGAAGAATCATGTATGTCAGACGGCTGGATCCATACTTGATGTCCTTGTTCAAGGTCCATTTACTTGGTCATTGAACATAAACTTACATGTCTCAGCCACAGATTTGTCTCCATGATTTGATTGACTTCATCCTGAAAACGGAGCAGAATTGTTAATAAAGACGTTAAAGCAAAGAAAAAACAATACATGCTAGCATCTTAATGTTTAAAAAAAGGAAAAACAGTGGGGGTTTTTAGAGGATTCTTTCTTTTAGTTGGTCAAAATATGTTTTTCCTCCGTTCACAGCGTTACATTGCTTTAATATTATGTCCATACACTTGGATGTCCCTCCAAACTGGGGGCCACCCAACACCTACCAAGGCTTCGCCTACGCTGAGTTTGGAGTAACATCAACTTCCAAACAATCAAAATATTCTTTTAAAATAATATTTGTAAATGTCGTGAGATGTGCTTTTTTGCATTCAGAGACAGTAAGATGAGAAGGTCAATGACGCTCTCATGTCTGTTCATTAGATATGAAGCTAAGGCCAGTTATGCTAGCTGTATTTATGATAAGCTATCATGTCCATTCCTTTTTACTCTTGGGTTTTTAATGGAATAAATAAAACAAGATACAATAACATGTTTAATCTTAGTGGCAGTGATTGAACAAGACCGCCGTTCCCCCGTGTTGAGTCTTTAAGCTATGCTAAACTAAACAAAATGTCTTTTTGCTCTAATAATTGACAGACGGACACAATTGGGTTGCAACACACTGAAAAGAAGATTGCTTTAAAGAAGATTGCCTGTGGTCTATTGGGAGATGAGCTCATTTGGCCCTGTCAAAAACAGTTCTGGCTGACCAATACCAATTGTGTATTTGTTATGGTCAGCAGGTGTGCGTAAATTACAGACATACATTAGCGAGGAGAGCCCCGCAACCTTCTACACCAACTGTGTTAAAGAGAACATAACAAAATATACTTCATCTCTTTGACGTATCGATCCGGAAAGGTCTTCGGTATTAGCTCTTGAAATAAAGTGAAGATAAGAGGATTGTCGGAGGGCAATAAGCAAAGGAAAACCGATTTAGCTGGCCCACAATGTGTCAGACCCCATATCGTTCACACAAGCTGTCCACTACTACTGATATATATAGTGACATTGATCACACTTTTTATTGAAAATTACATTTTAAAGATATAGTTTCTGAGGGCTATAGATTCTATATTTATTCTAAATTAAGCTTGACATCCTTGCTGTCGTTTAGTTTTTTTTTTACTGTATTTCTGAAGGCATATTTCTTGTTGAGATGTTTTATTTTAGATGCCTGAAATAAAATAGGTGATGAGCAAACAAGTAGATAGAGAACAATATAAAGTCTGTTCATTTTGTAAAGAAGCTCTCCTCCCTCACCAACCAAAGGCCGTCCGAGGCTCTTTCTGCCCGCCGGTCTGCAGTCAACAGGATCTATAGTGGAACTCCTGTTAAATCCAGCTGGATGCTCCTCTGAAGTGGCAGTGATTGAAGAGAGCGCCTAAACTGAGAGGTACTTAGACAGCTGACATTTCCCATCTTGTCTTGGCCAGATAAACAGACCCTTCCTTCCTTCTTCCCTCCTCAGGATTCTTATCCAGAGAATACCGCTCACAGGCCGGAATGTCATCTCAATTGTCCCCTTCTCGAAAACTTTGTTGCCCAAAGACCATAAATTGACACAAACGTATTACCCACAAACTCATACCCTCTACTTGTAATGCTGTCTAAATTAGATACATGTAGGACTGTCGTGACTCACAGGTGCAATAGAGGTCAGCACTTACCACTTTGACCAGCTGTGACATGGACACCTCGAACTGCACAACAACTGGGTCGGTGACATTTTCCACCGGTCGTATGTACTGGTTGTAGCTGGAGAAGATCACAGAGAAGAGCTTGTGCTCTGCGTCTGAACAGGAGCATCCTGAAAAAGAGCAGATTGTCAGACAGGGACGATGCGGTGTTGCTGCCTCTGGCTTGGTTCAAAGGTGATTTACAGCCAGATTGTATGTCTATGGATGTATTTCAGTGCAGTTCTTTTGTTTTTTTGTTTTCAGAGAGTTACTTTCAATCACGCTGTTGGTCCTATTTATTTTGAGGTTTTCTTCAGTGTAAAGCATTATTTGCACCACTAAAAACGCATGCATTTCTTAATTAACAACAAGTCATAAGGTATTACTTACCAAAATGTTGACCATATATCAAAAATAGGATACAAATGTGAGCATACACGCATGAGGTTATTTCCAAATGATTATCTTAAATCGCTAACTCTGTAGCCTCCATAAATATTTGTTGCATTTAAGCAACACGGAGAGCGAGTTAAAGTAGAAACGCGTTACTCACGTCGAAGAAGAAACAGAAGCGCAACGAAGACAAAATACGCGGCTTTCATCCTGTTTGGAAGGAGCGATTGAAGTTGTATCCCGGGTCAGCGGCCGCGTCGCAGCGGGCAGCAGGAGACAAGTGTGGAGTGAGAGCGCGCGTGCGTTGTTCCGGAGGGGCGCAGCGAGTGCGCGCGGCCACTGAGAGGAGGCGCGCTGCGCTGCAAACGCCAGAGGAGTGCAACCCATAGCGGGCTGTGATGTGATAAATAAAAAGAAATGGTGAGGAGTGCACAATTTTTTCAGGCTCGCATCCGCTACACATCATTTGTTTTGACTCCTCACGATGTGTCTGTGAGCGGTTTGTCTTTAACTCTTGGAATTAGAAAGATAACAGCAAACAATTGAAATACACACTTTGTAGCGGGGTTTGAGAGAATACGTTTTTTTTTGTAAAGTCCCCAAAAACACATTCAGTGATCCTGAAATACAAATATTATTTTCTGCCAAAGTTAGTAAATATTTCCAATATTTGCTATACGTTTTTATTGATAAAAAAGGGATTTCACATGATGGAAGATTGGGGGCTGTTACTGTCAATCTGATCTATTCCATCAGTCTACATGAAGCTGAGAAGCTGAGATTTTGAGTGTGGAACTATTAACAAATATCACTTAGAACATGTAAATATGTTTGTATACTTAATCTTTATTTGATAAGATAATCAGTTGATGACCATACAAACGTAAATACAACTGTTGGCCTTTCGTTTATATAAAGTTTACGGGACTGGAAAAAACTAATTCTGCCTAATTGGAACTCATTGAATTTGTATTTCCCTGATTCAGCGTAATTTATGGGCGGAAATGAAAAACAATATTGTGAAGAAGGTTTTCTTCAGTGAATAATCCCCTGGCAGAGACAAAGTCCCTTCTAGAAACCAAGTGAAAGTGTTTGCACTTGAATCATCTCCACTTTGTTCGGCCACACTGGCTCAAATCCTTTGAGCGGGGCAAGGGAAAAAGAATCACCCCCATGTGGGATATTAAATCATATCCAGATAGTAATGCTCATTGATTTGACCTTGATGCTGCAATGGCTACCCTTAGTATTACTTATTATTTTGATTTCACCGTTACATTTTTGATGATTTGTTCCAACATAACTAATGATTGCTAATGTGGCAGGGAAATTCTCAAGGACAATGCTGCCATGCATAACTTATTGGAGACTAATGACAAAAAGCTGCTGACGCGATTTATGGGACTTTTTATCGATTGTTGAATGACGGCTCCTCCATTTTTGTTTGGATTGAAACTGATGAAAAATTGTCGATGTTGTGAAACCAGTGCCTGTCTCTTTACTGCAGACAAGCTAACAGGTGAAGGGGAATGCACTCGAAGGCTGTAGCGAGACATGAAGGTAAAACATTAGCAGTGATGTGGATCGTTGTTTCTTGATTTCAATGAGGGTTTCACAAAACAACCGAGTCTGCAGAATCTCTAACGAGCCCACTCAGCACAGTTTATTGAGCAGTAAATGCCCAGCGTGGGTTCAGTCCACCGTGTGCTTGTGCATTTTCTCAGACGTGTTTGTGCCTCGATATGCCGGTCTGAAGAAATGAGCAATTAACAGAGGTTAACTCGGGGCGTAAAGACACAAATGAAACAAGTAAACTTTGTTTAAACCATACACATCCTTTTAGAACTGTCTGACTGGAGGGTATTTGGCAGTGTGCCTCAACAAAGGCACGATCAACCCAATCTCCACAGGTTTTGTTGCATCAACATTCTTTCTTGCCAGTTCACACATTAACATTTAAAGTGAACAGCCGTCTTATCCTTGTGATGAAATGTTCTAACTGGCACATCATCAATGAATGTATTGGCTCCGAGGACGGACAACAAGGATTAACGAAGCACTTACCCTGACAAATCTGAGACTTTATTGGGGAATTCATTCATTTGATGAAGATGAGAGAGGGCATTATTCATTCTTTAATCACATTTCTGATGAAATGGTATTGGAACTTACTTAAACAAGGGCTTAAGACAACAATCTGACAGCAGACACATTTAACTGTGACTCAGACATATTAGGTATATTTCTGCATAGGTACAGCATACTTATGTGCAGTGAAAGCTATATTCAGTCCGGTTCTGGAGCTGTCCTCTGTAGACATGGGAGATGAGCTCAGTGCAATGACGCCTCGTTACCACTTCCTCAAAGGATTTGGTGCTGATGATGGTTGCATTGCTATTGGCCATGTGGTTTTGATAATTTGGAGACATTTGATCGATGTCTTATTTCATACAGCAATTCGGTCTTTACCATATAAAATGAGCGTCTGTTGGTACTTTTTTACCTGGTTTAACCCTCTCAGATGCTTTATTTTTGAGCGTTGGACGACAATGCTGTCCCTGCTTTTTCTACCCACTAATATAGTTATAACTACTGCAGCCCTCCAGGTGCACCTGAAAAAAAAGAAAAAACCCCAAAAAATGTCTTTGTACTCGTCATATGCGAGGAGTCTCTGAGCTGGGCTGCTGGTTGGGAACGATCTGAGTCTGGAAGACTGGCTGAAGAAATAAGCCCAGCGTGCCCACCACACACACTATCACAAAGATCCACAGGAACATCCGATCCACCACCATGGCCACATACTTCCAGTCCTCTATCACCTGCAAAAATGGAGAAACACAATTAAACTGCTATGTACAAACATCTCTTTTATGTGTGAAGTGTGTCGCGTGATAAAGTTTTATAGTTATTTCCTTTCAGAATCCTCACATGCAAAGAAACTGTCGACTCTGTTCATTCAGCCACAGCGCTGTTTAAACAACACGAAACATTTGGGTAAATGCGGATACGTACACTCTGATCATCGTCATCTCCCATCATGTGCTCGGCCACAAAGCGCACACCGTTCACAGCCTCCTGGACATCAGCAGCCCAATCTGAGCTGGTGCTCTGCTTGAGGTCCTGGCCGCTGGGAATGTAATCAGTGGAGCGCAAGTCCCCCTTCCTGTTGGAATGGCTGAAGCCCAGCTGAGGAGCTACATTTAGTCCCCGGGCAGAGAAAGCAGGATTGGAGGACTGCAGGGCAGAAGGCGACAAGATGAAACCTGTTTTGGCTGCATCTGGGTAACCCGAGCTCCCGATGGACTTCCTTGCCCTCAAACACCGCTGTCTGCGGAGTCTCTGGCTCGCAGAGTTATTCTGAGGGCGCCTCATGAAGAGCAAGGCAGGCAGTTTGACAAGAAATATCAGCTTGACCCAGGAAGGCATGGTGTGGGTGCTCGGGGAGCGGTGGTGGACGTTGAGCACGCACACACTGGTGATGATGGAGAAGGTCACGAGGACCATGGTGAACATCAGGTACTTGCCGATCAGGGGCACATCCAACGAGGTGGGGGGCACAATCTTTGAGATCAAAAGCAGGAACACGGTGAGAGCCAAGAGCACGGAGATGCAGAGGGTCATCTTCTCCCCGCAGTCTGACGGCAAGTAGAAGACCAGAATAGCCAGAGAGGTGATCAGAACACAGGGAATGATGAGGTTTATGGTGTAGAAAAGGGGCTTCCTTTTGATGATGAAGTCGTACGTGAGGTCCACGTAGGTGGGATCCAGGGGGTTGACAGTCCGTCTGCCCGGCAGCGCCAGGATGTCCCACTCCCCACTGGGAGTGAAATCATCCATGCTCGCCACCTCGGACTTCAAGATCAGGTCGATCTCCGTGTGGTCGTACGTCCAAGAGCGGAACTTGAGGGTGCAGTTCTGCTGGTCAAAGGGGAAATGCTTGACCTCGATCTTACAGGCGCTTTTATAGATGGCGGGGGGAAGCCAGTTGATGCTGCCATTGAAAATCACAATGGCGTTGGTGAAGACCGTCACCTCATAGGTACCGTCGGCACTATGGGAATAGGGAGAAGAGAGAGGTAGAACTTAAAGTGTTTCAAGCTAACTTCATGCTTGATTCAGGGATGCTTACTTGTTGTACAGGACAATGTCTGGGAGCCAGATGTGTCTGGAAGGGATGCGCAGCTTGTCTATACCTTCATATTTTGCCGGGTCCCACGATAACCTGTAATCCACCCAGTGCTGTGGAGAGAGCGGGTTGTCAAGTCCGACTTCCAAACACCCACTCAAGACCGGCTCGTTTCTAATTACATGCTTCATTATCAGTTAAATATGTCTGGAGCTGAATTACAGAAGCAGTTTGTTCCAGAGAGGAAGAATGGATATGGTTAAATTCAAGTTCAAAGGGAAGGACATTTAACAAGACTGAGGCTGACTAAGACTACAGGTGAGCTCTAGCATACTTACCTGAGTGAGCCAGACATTTGTGGTCATGATCTGTTCCCTCTCATTCTGCAAATGCAAAAAAATTGTTTCTTTATTCACAAATACAGTAGAAATGCACACTGCGCATCAGCTGATAATGAACATTGTTTTATAAGGATAAACACATTTTATGTGGGGGCTACTTGAGATTACATAGGCATGTAAGACATGGCAGTATTATATAATCAAAGATATTTTTCATAAAATATTTTGACCAACCCCCCCCCCATCCATTATCTATCTCATCGTCTCAATCAGCTATATACCAGCCAACCTTTCAGCAGGTTTCATTCAAAACGCCGAGAGGCGACGCTAGTTTTTGCTGGCGTAGGTTTTTTGCACTCAGGATGAATCACTAACTTGACAGCGCGGTGTCAGCCGAGCAAGCGTGATCAGAATGTGACGACAGAGCTGTTGTAACACTCAACTGCATTTAAATCCTCCCCTGTAGCCTGATTGCGCGTTAACATGCTTGTCGATGGCATTGTCATCGCAGCGCGTCCAATGGAGTGATGTCGGGTGCCAATTATATCGAGGGGTACAATGAAAACTCATCAACCGAGCTGGTGGTTCTCGCTGCCTCGGTCTGCGGCGGGAAGGAGCCTCCGCTGTAAATCACAGGAGAACCTCTATCACTGCGGCTAAAACAGCTTTATGGCCTCTTTTAATCCAATGTGCTGAAATTTCAATCTGGACATGGCGGAGGCAGATATCACGGCTGGCCACATCCATCCTCGACTTTCCATCCATCCGTTTAGAGTGATGGCCTTGCTGCATAGGCCGGTTGATAACAAACTGCTTCCTCAAAGCTTCGTGGCTTTTGCTCTGTCTTTTCCATCGTCCTCTGTCTCCCACCCTCTCTTTCTTTTTATGTCTCCACAGCACAGCTTCTCTCCAACGTGAGCAAACACACCCGCAACTTTACAGTGGGGCACAAGTATTTGGTGCCTCACCACACTGATGAGCTGAGCCAGAGACACTTGCAGCTTCACCGGGACTCTCTCCGTCCGGTTGACAGCCGGGCGGATGAGCAGATTGTAGCGATCCTTTCCCAGCAACCAGTTCATGAGACGCTCCTCTGATTCGGCACAGCGGCTACCTGGTGACACGTTGATGTTCCACAATTTGAATGCACAGGTAGTGTATTCACATCCAAAATATCAGTATCAAGACAAAACCTTTTCCTAGAGTCACACAGGTTGTTATTTAAAACCAATACAGACAGTTTTCAGAATGAAAACCCTTTTTATTTTATTTAAATTATTATTTATAATATACATTCTGTTTTTGTAATCTGTTCAGAAAAATACTATTCCTTATCTGTGTCTCTTATTAAACTCTCTTTTAATAAAAACTGCATGTATTAAGGGACACATCATGTGGCAATTAAGAAATACAGGGATGGCTTTGTTGTGCAATTTATATTGCAATGTAATGAAGACACCAAAATAATTTCCAAATAAGTAATTACACTTGGGCAGAGGTCAGATATTTTCACAACAGGTTAATAATCCTGCTTTTTTCTTAAACCAAACCAATGGATGTATAATTTAAAGTGTGAATAAACTACAAATAACAACTTCAAGAACTTCAAGTCTACTTCCTTTCCTCCATCCTGATAAATGAAGCCAATGTCAGAGGTAAAGACCAGCCTGATTGGAACTGATGATCATCATCTTCTCATCTGGTGCAACGTGAATACATGTAGTGCTGCCTCCTACATTTGCTTCACATCCAGCATGTTATTAATGCCACCATCGTCTGGAGTAGCTGAGTCGGCGCACTCTTGGGAAACACTCAAATGCCCATGAAGCACACAATACCCATACGGATGGGCCTGAAGAAAAGTAATCACCGCCATTGTCAATATTCAGCAGAGGGACGTTCGCGGCTGCAGAACCGCAGAGAATCAACTCGCGCCTTTTGTGACCCTCAACGATGCTTTTCTTCTTGCTCAGTGGCAAATTCTGTTGTGTGCCATTATCGGCCCACGCGTGACAGGAATAACGTCTCAGCCACACGGGTCAGCACACGCCGCCATGACTGTGCCTCGGCCGCAGTCCCATGCAACAGCCACAACGCCCTTTAACAGTCCCTGAGAGACCCGTGTCAAACAAGCATTGCCTTCTCAAGAGATGAGGGCCAATGGCAGACCACCCAATCTTGTGATTATTTGACTGTGAACTGCCACTGGTCTGTGTGTGTGTGTGTGTGTGTGTGTGTGTGTGTGTGTGTGTGTGTGTGTGTGTGTGTGTGTGTGTGTGTGTGTGTGTAGGTGTGATGTGTAACACGAACAGCGCCTCAAGTGTTGTGTTGGCATTACGTTGATGGAGAGTGAGGTCAGCCATGTTAAAACACTGCTAGTCAGCTGTTGTTGAGTTAATAAGGTCACTCTGTGCACTTGAAAAAAAAAACTATCTACAAAAATGTAATTCAGTTAAGAGACCAGAGAGCATAATTAAGTTTGAATAGACCTAAACATGGGGCAAAAATGTTTTGTTTTTTACATTCCATCACTAAGTATCATGATAATTTGAATTAATAAAATTGAAAAATCTTTTTCCTTCTCCCTTTGATACGTACGCACATGGCACACCAGTGAAATGTATTCACTAACATTCTCACTCAGAGACATAGTATGAGGTTTTGGTTTTCCCAGGTGAGCCCACTGGTTTGACATAAATAAGTGATGTTGAGGAAGTCAAGAAAAGGATGAGAAGTTACTTGTATTGGTTCAGGGGGCTGTGTGTGTCCAACAGTGTGTACATGGAGTGGCGTGTTAGTCATCATTCTTTATATCTCAAACCTCTATATGAGGGCTGATTGAATTTGGTTAATGGATTTGGCCATGTATAACTTATCAAAATGTTAACGTTTGAATAAAGAAGGAAACCGATCACACAAACACACGCACGCACACACACACACACACACACACACACACACACACACACACACACACACACCACACACATGCCAAAGCAAAACAACACAGCATTAAATAGGATGATCGGAACACAAAACGTAAAGAAAGACAAACTTACAGTGGAGCAGACAGAGGAAGTACGCGAGTATGGCGAGAGTCCGAGTCATTTTTTCGGCACCATCTGATCCGCAGGAGCTGTCGGTGTGGAAGCGTCGGAGCCGCGGTGTGTAGCGCTCTCCCTCACGGACATGCCGGGATCTACGGGCAACGAACACGGTGCTGACGCCCCAACAAACAAATACGTGATTTTTCGCCAAATAGCGATATCTGTTACTGCGGCTTTTTTTTGGAGGGGTTGATTTGGAAATCCGCCCCATAAAATTGCCACAGTGTCGTGCGTCTTTACGCGCTGTCAACACGCAGCAGCAGCGTCGTCCCGGCGAGTCCTGCAGGTCTGACGGCCGGCGGGGGGATCGGCAGCGCGTTTTACCAACAGGTGTATCGGACTGCACGCTGTATTTTCGCGAATTGAAAGGGAAGCAAGGTGGGAGGGGGTATGCATGTCTAAACTTTTGTGCTTGGATACGGGGAAAACACGCCAGAGAGATCAATCAATGCACTTAATATGTATTTATCTGACCGCATACCCCCCACCCTTCGAAATCAGCAACTTTCCACTCTACAGAAAAATCGTTTCATTCAGTAATTTCGCCTGCCAAGAGGTTTTATGAAATAAAACATCCAGGGGGGACCTTTCTGCACACTTAAAGGTGAATTTCAATACTTCTCCATGTAAATGTCTCGAACCCCAACTTAGTCCCACGTGAGCACGAGGCTTCCTAATTTCATCAGACACCCAGGAGTCAGGGATCCCATCTGGGTCTAATTCCTTTCCCCGCACATTAGTTCCTGGGGACTTGCCGTCATTTGCTGACTTTGCCAATTGGCTTTGGCGAATGTAGTCAGGAGAGGACAATCAATTATTCTCTGGTCCTGGGTGTGAGATTTAGTGAGGTGAGGGCCAGCCGGACCAGGAGCAGTGCAACCTTAGCAAGGCAGATTTACAGAGGCCAAGCAGTTTAAAGCCTCATTATAATGGCCAGTGAAGGGCCTGTGTATCCGTCATGGAGAGTGGCCCCGAGGACTCGCCTTGGGCTGTAAATTCAAACGCCAAAGACTTCTATTCTGGATTATTGACAGCAAATCAATGGGGACTGATTAGGTTTTGAGCCTCACGTGTTTTTATTGGGTTGAAGAGGATAGGCCTCTTCAACCCAATGTTGGCTTACTTTTATTAACCCGATTAGAAGACCCCTCTGGAAAAATGCTCTCTGGCACTCCTAATGACGCAAAAAGCTTTCCCTTCTCATCAGAAAGAGCAATGTTTCTAAGGTTCAGTAAAAAAGTAAAAAGCTCAGCCGCAGAAAGAAAAGCTTTGCCCCTTCACAGTGTACTGTATACATTTACCATGGTAGCTGCAGGTTAAAAAAATCCATCAATGCCATTTTGTGATGGTCTTATTCTTAACACTGGTGGTGGAGCGTGCTTTGGCTCGGCTGCAGAGGGGACAGAGTGGTGGTGGCTCGGGGAACTGTGCCAGGTGGAGGTGTAGTTGGCCTCAGCTGGATTCATCTGAGTAAATTGTTTGTCTGCCTGTTAAATGCAGTAGTGGCGTGCTGGCACTAAGAGGAGAGAAGGACGGATGAATCTGCCGACACAGAGAGTGTGATTACTGCCAATATGTAAATAAAGTGTGCCCAAAAACAGCAACCTTGGAGTATATCCCCTCCGTGCAGCTCAAAGAACCCCCCCGCCCCCGGGAACCCGACATGTTAGAAACACTTTGGTCCACACTGAAATACCCCCTTGTGCAGGGATGCCATGCAAGCTGACATTCATATCTGGAATCTTAAGGAATCATGGAATCTTATCACCTCCATTTGTCGATTAGAGCCTTTCGACATCCAGCACCAACGTTGGTTTTAATCTGTCCACCAATTTGGTTGACAACCAAATACTTCAGAGACTAATAACATTTCCACATCTTTTAGTAGCGCATGGTTTAGCTCTAATTAGCAGATGTCAGCCTGCTCAAAATGCGGTCGTGATTGGCAATGCTGGAAAACAGGAATTGGACCCAAATGTAGATGAAGAAGCAGAAACACTAAACACATGGAGGTGAACTGGTGCACGTGGCGTGTGGCTGCTAAGTAGATGAGATGCAGTTAAGGAGGCTTGAGGAGAGGGCAAACACCACAAATACACGGTAAAGCCCTGACAAGTACAACCGCTCAGCATGTTGACTCTTGTAAAAGCTAGCAGAACATTTTGCACAGACAATTGGTAAATAAGAATAATGCTCTGAGTCAAATATGTCTTTCTCCGTTTATTTCCTTGCAAGGGGAAAAAGGGCACAGCAACGTGCTCAGCAGACTGCCAAGAACCCTCCTCCTGCCATAACAGGTCCAGTCAATTCTTATACCTACAGGTGGCCTCCAAACCAACTTCTTGTGTCTCCACAGTCAGGAGGCATCTTATCGGTGTGAGACACTCCACTCAATTCTTTACCAAGGCCACACCATCCCAGCATTTGCAATTTCTAACCTTGTTCATTCAATGAAACATTTTGAAGGGTTACATACATATTTCCATTACATACCTCATTCATATGTTTAAACCAAGAATGATGTGTGTGCAGTATTCAGATTAATCTGCAGAGCTAAGGGCTAAGTGTGTCCGCTATGATTCGATGACATCACTGGTTTGAAAGAATCAACAGTGAGATTTGAAGTCTGAGAAGTTGAGGAATAAGACACCAAATGTCCAGTGGCTATTTGCATATTACTATATTCTGATTTAGGGTGTAATTTTATAAGCCACCAGAACGTATCTTTGGTTATGAACTTTTAATTTCTGCTTTAGATCTCCATGTCGTTCAAAAATTCATTAAAAACTAGTGTAAGACAAGTATGGCAAAAAATAGTTTCTAGTTGAAAAATCTCTTCTCTGACACTAAAAATAAGTAAAGCAGTAAAATTCTATCTGGCAATATATTTTATGCTCCGCAGTATGACAAACAGCCGATAGGTTCAAGGGTCACGGCATATATCATCTGAAGTCTGTTGTCTAGAAATCTGAGATGCTGTGCTCAGATGTCAGCAGAGACCCTTTTTATCTTGTTCTGGATGCTTAGTGTTATCGGCTCATGCAGCCTTTCGCTCACGTCTCTAAATCATCCTAATAAAGTTCACTCGAGCAGGAAGTCTGTGGATTCTCAGTGGATACAATAAAAAAGAGGAAACAGTTCTCAACAATTGAGGATCCAAACCTATCCGGCACAATGACAAGTGCCTGGTGCTATATATTTCAGTATATATATTTCAATATAGAGTTTGATCCGAGCCACAGTTTGACAGTGCTGGGTAACATGCAGACAGAGAGCACGCGTCTCTGCGTGACAGAGTTCCCCGTGTGGGGAAGTATGATGGAAGAGAAATCTAATCAAAGAATTGCTGTTGTTTCAGTACCATGTTGCACCACAGCAATCCCACCCTGAGGGGTGTGTATATCAAACAGGCAGTTCATTAGCCGGAGTGCTTGGCTCCCGTACCAGCGAGTCGCAGCCTCACGTGAAGATATTGATTACCCACAATCCATTGCCAGTGGGGGAACAACCCGTCTCGATGGTTCATGGGATGTGTTTCGGTGTGACGATGACAGCTTCAGGATACGATTGACAACTACATTTTTTTGTCGCAAAATTTGTAAGACCACTCAAACTGTTCATGGGGCGTTCAGTGAAATGTTGAGGTAAAGCGACACTACTTTAGTTGAGTGTTTCCATTTTGTGGTTTTCACTATACTTAATACTAACCCACCACATTTTATGGATAAACTTTGGATTTAAAAACAAAAAAGAAATGTGATGATGAAATGTATGAGTCGGTATAATTGCGGAGCTTTACGAGCTAAATACCAGTTACACCGTATGTAAAAACTCCAAAAATAAAGTATTTGTTTTTCAACACTTGTAGTCAGCATTTTAACTTACATACATTTAATATAAAAACTTTACTCCTGCATTGTCGTATTGTTAATTTTACATGAAAATACATTATCTGAATACGTCTTCCACGCAGCTACTCAGAAATAAACATGCTTCACAAAGATCCAAATACTCTGAGATTCAACAATGATACAGTTGGATCAACTATAAAAGATATTTACTGTGCTGATACACGGAACATGGAAGTTGTCTGATTGTCTGAGCCCTGGCAGGCATCCAATAATACGCGCTTCCACTTGACCTGAACCACCAAATCAACATCCACAAACTCTGCAGAAAGGCAGAAACACACTGACCACAAAAATAATGAATTACTGCTCATCGATTTCATATTCCTGTGAGAAAACAATTTCCCAAGGCAGTTTTTTTAATAAGCAATGTGGTGGAAACTGAAAAAGGAAACTGGACAAAAAGTGGCTAAACATGTTTATCCAAAATCCTCACTACAATTGCAATATTTCTGGGGGGGGGAATGGCCATTCTCACTAAAGAGCCTTTTTTTCACATGCCCGGCTTGTTTTGGGTTTTTTTTGCTCAAAAAAGTAGCAGCAACAGAAATTGGGGAAAAAAAATACAAAATAGGAGAACAAAATTGTAATTAGCCAGATGGAGGTTTTTATCTCAACCGCTCATATCTGTCGGTCAGTAATGAATAGTTCCTGGAGAATACAGATTAGCCTGTTTGTTAATTAATTCAGCTTCTCTGCGATAGACAGAGACTGCTCCCGGGTGTGGTGTTCAATATGTCGTTCAGCGAGAGTGAGGAAGACAAATGGTCGTACGTCACACCTGCAGAATGAGACCCAATGAATGTGCTCTGCAGGGCCTTTTTTCTTACAGCTCAGAATGGGATGTTAAACCTCCCCTCACTTGAGACACCACACCACAAATCCTGAAGGGCTTTATTGGTCTGGGAAATCCCCGATCTGACACACCGGAAACTGGAATAACTCATATTGATGGTGCTGAGTGGAACGGAAAAATGTAATGTAATGTAAAAAGATGATCAAGAAGAAACAGCGACAGGGTCACGGATCTTGTTGTGCACACACTAAAGGTCATGGGTAAAATGACAGATGCACATGCATATTTTAATCTTGCTGCGAGGGGGTTTTCTGCTTGTGTGTAATTTAGTGGACAAAACAACGGTCCTTCAGTGTTAACAGAGCTGTAAAATTGATTTCATTTGTCACTGCGAGGGCTTCTACATAGGCACTATTTACTGACATGCATCACCATAATCACAGCTGACGAGAATCCATTCTCTGTGCCCTAGATGAGATCTTAATGTGTTTAGAGAGGTATGCTAGGACTGATCGAAGCAAAGCCAGCAAACTGGGTCTGTTTGTAAATCTTTTCTTTCTGCTTCTTAGGTCAAAAGAAAGGGTTAGACGTCCGTAACAATGCTGCCAGAGACACAGACAAACAAATCAGTCAGTAAAAAAAAC